AATTGCAATAGATATACATTTTTTTTGTTAACAAAATCATCCCACTGTCTAAAAAATTCTAAACCGGGCGTGAATGGATTGGATATAAGTAATTTTAAATTCAAATATATGTTAATATGGACTATGAAGTAATCTGCTTCAGATCTAGACCTATATCCATCAATTCACATAGAACCTAAAGCATTGTCTAAGCATATTTATATTTATATAGCGTATGTAAGGAAAAAATAAAATTAGGCACACGGCCCAGATAAATGGATACTATGAGTTTATTACCATTTTATTTCTCACTATGGATAATTAAGTCTATGTGTCCTAGGTTTGGTCAAAATCCATCTTTTCGTGTAGAATTTGTTGCGCGTCATTTTATTTGTACAGCCCATTTAAGAAAAAAAAATGATTTCATGGCCCACGGCCAAAAATGAAGTGTTAAAAAAGTTTAATAAACCCCTCAGTTTTTTTTTCGGATAATAATGTATAAATGTGTCACTATTAATTTTAAACAGATCCAGATTTCAGTTTTCTTTAATATTTATTGCCATTGTTAACTCAAAGAAAAATTTGACCACCTTTTTATTTAAAATTACCCACAAACATAGATAGTTGTTTTATTTAATACTAGCCAATATACCCGGCTTTGCATGGGAGTTCATTAGAACCCCGGTCCTGGTAAGATCCCGATTCCAGTGGGACTCTAATTCCATTCTGACACCAATCATTGCTCAATTTTTTTCCCAATGTGATCCCGATACAGGTGGGATCACGTTTTTTTTTGTCTCCAGATCCAGGGGCGATCCAGATCCCGTTGGTATCTTTTCCCGATCCGGTCGATACCTCGATCTTAGTGGGATCCCGATCTCGATGGATCCTGATTCCAGTGGGCTACCGATCCCGTTAGGATACAATCCTCTATGGGATACCTATCCAACTAGGGACCTCCTTTTCCGATGCTATCTCTTTTCCCGATAGGATCCCGATGCCCGTTTGATCCCGTTACCCAAGGGGATCACGTTACCGATGGGTTCCAGTTTACTGTTGGATCTCTTTCCTCATTAGGATCCTGTTCCTCAAAGGGATCATGCTCAGTGTGAATTTATTCAAATAAGCTTTAAGATCCCATTAAATATTCCTGTAAAAATTTAAAGAACCTTCTGGAACATTCTAAATATCCTTAATTAAAAATCGGTAAACAATTATTTTCTACGTATTTTTTCTCGAATGCGAAATATTATAAAACTTAATTGAACTATTATAGCTATAGTACCTTTTAAAGTGAAATTGGGGCCCCAGTGGGTGCCCATATAATAAAATATCGTTTAAGTTATTTCTGAGATTGGGTGGGGGCCCTATAAAATCATTCTCATAAATTATAGAATTCAAATTTAAAATTTGTCACATTAATGTGCGTTTAAAATTACCATTGTTACAGCTTTTGAAATTAAAGAACTTTCTGGAAAATTCAAAAAGTGGCCCTGAATGCCTTGCATATTTTTTTTTTTAAATCCACCCTTTCAATGTGGACTTAGAAATGATATGAACAGAGCTTGACCTGGATCCATCTCTTCGCGAAGAACCTATAGTGATGTCTAAACCTATTGATATTTACATTCGTTTATATAAGGAAAAATGAAATTGGACCCTCGGCACCCGAAGAATAAATATTATAAGTCTACTAACCTTTGGTATTTGAATATGGATACTCAAGTGCATGTGTACATAGTCTGGTCAAGATCCATAAATGGATGTATGAGTTTTTGTTGTTAATTGTATGTATATAGTTCTTATAAGAATTCAGGGCCCCCAGACCCAAACGGAATTTTAAAAAAAAAATTCATAACATCTTAAGATTTCTTTCTGGATAATGATGGATATGTATGCCAAGTTTGGTCAAGATCCATCAATGCATGTTAAAGCCTTTGTGGAAAAAACAGACATACACGCCTCAGACAATCACGTATATATATATATATATATATGTAAATATGTATACATATGATATGACTAGCCGACATACCCGTCGTGGCCCGGAATTGCATTACGACTCCAAACCTGATGAGACCACGACCCCATTTGACCCCAATCCAATTTGACGCTGAACCTGGCGCAATCCTGTTACGAGGTGTGATCCCAATCCCGGTGGGATCCTATTTTATTGTGACTCCGGATCCAGGGGGAATCCAAATCCCGGTTGGATCCAGATTCCGTTGGTATCTTGGTGGATCCCCATGGGCTACCGATCCCGTTAGGATACCAATCTATATGGGATTCCATTTCACATAGGAACCCTCTTTTCCAATTGATTCCATTTCCCTAAAGGATTCCAATCCTGGTTTGATCCCGTTGCCGGATGTGAACACGTTACCTATAGGTTCAAGTGTACTAATAGATCTCACTCCCCATTAGGACCTTATTCCTCTATGGAATCTTGCTCAGTGTGATTTTGTTCGAATGAGCTTTTAGATCAAACTATATAGCCCCATGGAACATTATTGAACCTTCTAGAAGATTCTAGATACAATTGAATATGATCCTCGAAACGTATAAAAATTACTTTTCTAAGAAATTATTTTTCAAATACGAAATATTATACTACTAATTTGCACTACTATAACTATAGTACATTAAAATGGAAATAGGTGCCCCGGTGGGGCCCATTTAATAAAGTGCTTTTTAAGTTATGTCTAAGCTTGGGGTAAGGGGCTATAAAATCATTCAGATAAATTATAAAATTATGATTACAAATTTGTTCCATTGAAATCGATTTAAAATGCTTTTTAAAATTATCGAATTTTCTGGAAAATTCGATATTTCATAATATTAGTTTTAAATCCATGGATATTTCAATACAGACAATGAAGTATATTGCTACAACACTATGTCTATATCCGACAATTCACATAGAAACTATAGTGTTCTCCAAGCCTTTTGAAATTTAAATAACTTATATAAAAAATGAATAGGGTCCTGCGGCGACATATGAATTGATATTATGAGTTCAATACGATTCGGAACATGAAGATGAATAATGAAGTGTATGTATACTAAGTTTGGTCAAGATCCATCCATTCATGTTAAAGCATTTACTGTGGAACAAACAGGCACCTCCACAAACGAAATTTCACCTTTATTTATCTACTAGCCAATTTACCCGGTGTGGCGCGGGATAAGATTAGGACTTCAATCCGAATGGGACCTAATCCCATTCTCATCCCGTTCCCGCCATAGTTCCGTTTCCCAGTGTGATCACAATCCCGGTGGGATCCCATGTTCTTGTGGCTCTGGATCCAGGGGGAATCCAGATCACGGTGGGATCCCAATCCCGGTCGATCCCAATCCCGTTGCATCACAATAGAGGTCAATTTAATAAAGTACCCTTTTTGTTATGTAGGAGATTGAGGGGGGAGGTGTGCTATAAAAATCATTCAGATAAATTATAAAATTAAAATTTAAAATGTGTCCGATTAAAATCGGTTTAAAAATGCTATAGATATCTATTTTTAAATTATCGAACGTTCTGCAAAATTCTAGATCGGCCCTACATTGATTGGATATCTTAATTTTAAATCAAACGACATTTTCTATAAGAACGATGAAGTGTATTGATACCAAGCTAGGCCTATATCCATCAATTGATATAGAATCTAAAGTGTTCTCTAAGCCTATTGGTATTTATATAGCTTCAATAAGAAAAAATGAAAGTGGCTCTCTGGCCCCAGAAGAATGGATATTGTGAGTTCGGTACCATTCAGTATTTGAATATTTATTATCAATTATATGTGTACTAAGTTTGGTCAAGATCCATTCATTCATGTGGGAGTATTTTTTGTAATTTTTTAATATAGCTCATTTGGGAAAAAACGACATTTTTGGCCCCAACCGCAAACGGAATGTTATAAAAAGTTCATAAGCCCTTAAGAGTTCCTTTTGGATGATTATGGATATATGTTTAAAGTTTGGTCGATTTCCATTAATCGATGTAAAAGTCTTTTTGGAACAAACACACAAACAAACTTTCAATTTTATATATATATATATATATATATATATATATATATATATATATATATATATATATATATGATATACGATTTTTTATTTGATATGATATGATTAAATGACATGATATGATATTGTAATAGGACAAGCCTTTTTGATTTCACTCGAGTACGACATAGCTATTGATAAATATTCGCTTGGAAAAGGTAAATTATATCAGTATTAGAAACATTTTTTATTTGGAAAGGATCTATAAGAACAGCTATTAACTGAATCGAAAAATATATATCAAGCAAAAATATATATAATATGTAAACATCGGTCCGTGTAATGTACTTACTATAATGATGCAGAAACGTCTAGACTTGTGTTTAATTATCATTAAAGCTAAAAATGTGTATACATATTTAACGCAAATTGTATCTAATTAATCTACTTTAAGCTTTATTGCAGAACAACACACTATTAACTTGTTATCACACAATAAGTATTTTGCTATGTTTATAAATAAACAAAATGTGTATGCCGTTCTGCTGGATTAAATCCAAATCGTATCATAATATTTTTAGAAATATAAAATGAAATATATTAACCAAAGTTACTTACGTAACTTGTCAGATATAACACTGAAAAGCGTGAATAAAAACATGACATTTGTGGATAATATGTTTCAATAGCTTTTCAATAATTTTAACTTTATAGAATCTTGAAAAAAGAAACAAAAAGTGCATTATATATTATAATAAAAAAATAATTTATGCCTTGTAGGTCTCTAATTACATTTTAAAATTTTTAATATCATTTTTTTTTTTTAAATTTCAAGTACCAATCAACCGTTGTTAATATTTTCAATGTTTTAAGTATGAATAGGCCTTACAGAATTGCTAAAAAGAAATAAAAATATTATACCATATGCTTTTAATGTGAGCGCTTTAATTTTAAATAGCTTATTAATATATTATTTCTTAATTAATTATGAACGGAAGAAAAACGAATCAAAATAATTACCTTGATGTCTTTTTTAAAAGACGTTGGTCTTAAAAAAAAAGAAAAGTTATGTTTTTTTTAATAATTATTCGTTGATTACAAAATATAATACTAAAGGGGAGAGACAACATTAAGGTAGGGGGACAAGAAATGAGTGGAACAAAGTATGGAAATCCGAAAAAAGGACAACAATAAACAACGAAAATTACTGATTTTTTTCTCAGCCCTTTTTATGTAGCACATATTTTAGGAGCAAAATCTATAAATAAATTAAATATTCGAAATTATAACGGTAAGTAATAATAGTTATACAATTAAATGTGTTAGGCCACCTGGACTGAATTTCTGTTAAAAACCTATATTGAAAGCTTAAAGTGTCAGACATTCCGTTTGGACGCCAGTGGAAAACCATACCATTGGTGGATTGACTTTATTAGGGAGACATTAAAATTCATAATATGAGCCGACATCAGGCCTCACTCAATTATAACTCAACTTGATCACGCCTCGATTGGGCGGAGTGAGAAATAACATAAAAATGAATTTGAAAAAAAGGAATGATCTTTCTGTACACAATATTTCTTTGAAAAATATAATTTATTTGCATTAATTCATTATATATATGTATATATATATATATATATATATAACTTGAATTTGATGGATAAACAATTTAGATGTTACTTATATGTATTTATATCTCTAAAAATAAAAAAACCAATAAATTATACTTACGTAAACTGTGAGAAATAAAAATCAAAGAGATGATCACTACCAAACCGCCAGCAGTGACACCAACTCCTATGTACATTTTTTCGAAATACTGGCCTTTGACGGGAGAAGTTTCTAAATCTTCAACTAAAGAAAACAGCTTATCTTACATAAAGCCTTTTGTGATACATAATCAATGTAGTGTTGTTTTTTTTTTAATGTAAAATTTTATTTTAATATATGAAAAAAAAAGTTATCAAATAAAGTAGATGACATAATCTGTAAAGTTGTATAACTAAAATTGTCTACTAAATTATTTTAGCATTAACCTTTTAAATTCAATATTGGATGCCTTGCCTCATAAGAAATAGACATAACGAAACAAATTTTGTCATTTTGTACAAATTATTTGATGCGCCTTGACTGCAGCGGGCATATTAGCATTTATCTTTTAAAATGATATCTATGTATTGATCCTAAAGATAAATATTCAACAAAAAATATATATTAATGTACATTGTTGTTGTTTTTCGTCCGCAAAATCGACTAGAACCAACCTGTTGGGGGGGGGGTGAGTTACGGTTATCTCGTTAGTGTCTTACTTATCCGATCCGTGCTCGGAATAATCTTTGGCACCACAGGCAAGGGATAGTTGTTGCAGTCGGTGACCTAATGTTGCTTTTTCGGACAAACTTTTATGTATCAGCTGGGGCTATCCTAATGGCTTCATGAGATGTATCCCCTTTCTCAACATCTGATATCCAGATGGCACTAGCCTGCGCTGTTTGCACCAATGAAGTATGGTTTATTCTGAAGCCATTTAGTGCCGCTCAGTGTGTCCTTGCAACGATGAAGTTCAACCGCCAATTTCTATATTTGTCTTGGAATTTTCTCCTTTCTAATGTCGAATCTTTTATGTCGCCGAACCAAAATATCTCGAGCACAAAAGAGGTTAAATCGGCCACATAGCCTCTGTTATCTTGATCCCCATGACCAATCGCCAACTTTTTAACTCCGCAAAAAGAAATAGCAAACAACAAATAAACAAGTGTTGACAATTAAAATTACGTATTTATTGTAATATACAGGTATGAAAGAATCCGAAAATTGTCAACAATGCCCCATGAAGGAGTGTTTTTACCCATTTGTTATGAGTATTGGAATCGCCCAATCCAAATGTATTTGGTATCTGTGGAAAGCTTAATTATTCCGGTTCAAGATAAATATAACTTATGGTCATTAAGAAAATTACGAAAGAAACTGAAGCTTTCAATCGCCGATAATTTTAAGCACAATTTGGTATTTTCCTGACCTACCTGGTGTATCACGAGATCTAACCACGTCCTTTAAATAAAATAAGGATTTTGATTGACTCATGTGTCGAAATTCTGTTTTTAATGACTACTTCATGTTAATATATTTCCTCGAAATTGGTATTCGTAAATCTCAAACATCCTTTATCTCGAAGCTTTTTTGCAAACCCCTAGGCTGGCGAAATAACAGGATTCTACTAAATAGAATGTCTCGCATAATTCTTGATTTTCGAATTGTTCTTTTTGATTTGAGGGCCTCGTTTCCAGTAACTACTGCCCTTTTCACTCCTCCAAACAATTCTGTATGCCAGTTGGAGCGATGTTCGGCAATGAAATCCCATTCGTTTGTTTCAATATTGGCTTCCCTCATGCCTCGTTTGCAAACGTCAATAAATCTCAGGCGCTGTCATCCAATATGTCTTGTCCCCTCTGCCAACTCTCCTTCCACAGAATCTTTGGAATACGTCCTTTCTCCATTCTCCGTACATGACCTGACCAGCGAAGGCGTCTCTTGATAAGAAAGGAAAGCATGCTAAACATGTGTGCATGTTCCATGACCTCCACGTTAGGCACCCTGTCCTGCCAACGAATGCGCAAAATGCGACGCAAACATCTTTGATGGAAGCTGTTGAGTTTCTGCTCCTGACTGGTATATGTGGTCCCTACTTCGCAACCATATAGGAGCGTGCTAAGCACGCATGCCTGATAGACACGTATTTTTGTTTTATCAGTTAGATTGAGATTATTCCACACACGCTTATTCAGTTTAGCATAGTTGCTGCTGCTTTTGCGATCCTGATATTTATCTCTTCATCAACGTAGAGAGAACTAGAAATATTGGATCCCAGGTATTTGAAATTATTAACATCCGAAAGATTATGACCCTCAATAGATATGATTGGAGGGGACGGTGCTTCTTGCATCATTACATGAATTTTCTGTAGACTAATCGAAAGTCCAAACTCTTTACAAGCGTATGATAGATGATTAAACAGCCCCTGCAGACCTTCTTCTGTGTAAGATGTTAAGGCGGCATCGTCAGCGAACAGCAGTTCGCGAATTCACCTTTTTTTATTTTGGTCTTTTCACGAAGACTGGAGAAATTGAAAAGTCTTCCATCAGATCTTGTATGCACGTACACCCAATCTTCACAGTCACTGAAAGCAAATTGAAGGAACACCGAAAAGAAAATTGAAAAGAGTATTGGTGCCAGTAGACACACTGTTTTACTCCACTGCTAACTGGAAATGACTCAGAGACGGTGCCATTGAAAGTTACTGTGCTGTGCATGTTTTTGTGAAATGACTGTATTATTGTGAGCAGTCGTAGGGGACAGCCTATTCTTTGCAAGATACTGAAAAGGGCTCTTCGACTTACCAAGTCACATACCTTGGTCAGGTCTATGAAGTCAATGTAAAGAGGCATATGCTATTCACGACATTTCTCCTGCATTTGGCGTTGCGAAAATATCATGTCTATTGTTCAGCGCCCACTCCTGAAGCCACAATGGGACTCTGGGTAGATGCGGTTCGCAAGGCTCTGCAAACTTTAAGGGCAACACGGGCAAAAGTCTTTCCAGGTAAGCCAAGGAGAGAAATACCTCGGCAGTTATTGCAATCACTTCGGTCCCCTTTTTCTATACAATGTTACGATTTTGGCGTCTCTCATGTCCTGGGGGATGTGAACTGTTTCCCGACACAGACAGAGGAGCTCATGTAAGTGCTGAAGTAGGATAGGTTTTCCATTTTGAGGAATTCCGCTGGGATTCCGTCGATCCCTGGAGCCTCCCCATCCGCAAGGTAATCGATGGCTTTTTCAAACTCCTTTAAAGTTGACTCTTCATCCAGTTCATTCATTACTGATAAGGCAGGAATATTATGGAGAGCGGTCTCAGTAACTACATTCATTGTAGAGTAAAGATCAAGATAATGCTCTACCCAACGCCGGAGTTGATCATTTGGGTTCTTGATATTTTGACCCATCTTGGACTTGAATGGTGCTATTTTTGACGTGTGTGGACCAAATGCCCTCTTGATGCCCTTGTGCATGCTCCTTGCATCTCCGTTGTCTGAAGTTGATTGTATGAAATTGCAAAGTTCTAGCCAGTAAGTGTTGCCACAGTGGCGGACCTTCTGCTGTGATAATTTATTTGCGGTTCGGAGAGCCTGCAGTGTACTAGCACAAGGTGCTTCCCTATAGGCAAGTAAGGCACTTCTCTTCCTCTCGATTACGGGTTCCATCACATTCCAACGCGCCTCGTACCAGTCATTATTTTTTGCTTCTTTTTAAAGTAGACGGACATGGCTGAATCGTACACAGCATCTCGTAAATGGCTCAACTTAGAGTCAATAGCCCCATCGTGTGATCCTTTAGCAAGGGTATCCTGCAACACTTTTGAGAATTGCTGCGATTTTTCTGGGTTGTTTGAGCAGCGGATATTTATTCATGGACGACACGTCTTTTTAGCATTATGCAATTGTGTGGGCATTAGTCGTATCTTGCTTGCCACTAGATAATGGTCCGTGTCACAGTCAGCACTATGGTAGCTGCGTGTGTGAAGTACACTAGCTAGTTCCAAGCGTTTAGTAATGACGAGGTCTAGCTGGTGCCAGTGGCGGGAACGTTGGATTGACCATGACTCATTTTGGATTTGTTTACATTTGAAGAAGGTATTTTTAAATAAATCTAAAATATAAAACAAGTTAATGATAAAAATATAATTTAAAAATGTGTACACATTTTTAACTAACGTATAACACTATTAAATAAAATAAACTTACCTATAAAATTAACAGTAGCTGTATTTTGTAGGCACCTTGATTCTTGCCATACCATGCACTCACATTTTCCATTTGTTACATTAGAAATATTAAAAATCATACTAACTTGATCTTGATCTATTGAAAAGAAATTCATAAAATCTACTTTTTGAGACATAGTTTGTATCAAATATACTTTGACACTTGAACAATAGTTATCTAAAGCTAATGGCAAATAAAAACGATAAAAAGTCAATTGCAGATTAAGAATTTTTTTTTTCTTTTACTGCAGAGAACGTCAAAAAAATGTATTAACTTTGTTATACACAAATTTATAAATATTCTTGTTTGTTTGTGTTGTTTTCTGAATAATTTTTTTTTCAATACAATTTGTATCTGAAATATTGGTAAAAAGTGCATTGTAAAAGCGGATGGTACATTTCAATATTAATATAACTTAGGGACTTAAAAAATATGACGTTACAGAATTGGGTTGAGCACCATTTGGATTCTTTAAAATTCCATTACATAAATGCACGTTTTATGAAATTTCCAGTTCCACACCCCTTTGCTCCATTAAACTTGTTTTAAATGATTTTACGAAAAGCTTTGTTTTAAGAGTATATAATAATAATAAAAGTATCGTTAGTCCAGTTTTCATTTAGATTGATGAGAGGAGATAATACAAGATAGAAGGATCTGTAAAATGAATTCAGTAAGTTTATCTCCATTTATTTTTATTATACACTTGATTATAACCTTGGAAGCTTAAAATTTTTAATTTAAATAGTTAACAAAGAAAAAAAAATAAATAAGTTATGTTCAATGCATTTAATTAGGCAAGTAAACGAACTGCGAAAACGTTATATTAATTTAGGTGCTTACTTCTACCGTAATAATCATTTTATTACTTCGTTTAGTTGCGTTTATAAGTAGCGGTAGTGTTGTTAGAGGGGATGACAATGCAAAACTATACCGATCACTGTTAAGAGTAAAAAGACTTTTAAACTTGTTTATTAATAATCTAAATATGTAATAAAATGGTTTTCTTACAATTGTATGTGTCAATCAAATAGCTCAGTATACATTAAGATTTATTTATATTATAATTGTTTTGTGTGAGAGTGTGTGCGTGGATAGGGGGGTTATAAAAAGATTGACATGATATTTTAGGGGGTCACTGAAAGTTTGACATTTGTTGACAAGGAGGGGGGTAGGTCAATAATTGCCAACAAATTGTTGACTTATTTAATTGTCAATTGTTACTTGCATCCACAATTCTGACAATGTTTGCCAGCATATTGAGAATTTAATTTTTCAAAGTCTTCATGAATTGTTCAATCGTGTGAGTCAAGCTGGCAACCAAAATGCACATGTTGTAAAATTAGGCCTGACAGTTCCCTACACAGTGGAACCATCAGTCGTTCTACTCGATTAAATTCACTCCTACCAGGTGCATTTGTTTCAACGAACACTCCATTAATGTTTTGCTTCAGAAAAATGATGAATTGCAACATTAATGAATTTTATCTATCTCGGATTTTCGTCGGGTCCACCAACCACAGACATGATAAGAACAGGTATGACTATATTATTGTTTTCATCCTTTGTGATAATGTCGAATTCTATCAACTAAAGCAGATTTTCATAGTCTAGTCCATGAGCGTAAGCTGATGATGAGGCATGCTTGCCTGACCTGATGGCTATGTATGTTTGACCTGAATAGTTCACAGCTTTAGTTTTGCCTAGACCATCCTTTTGAATTTCAATGCCAGCATAAACTGACGGAATTAGTTTATGCCTTGCAACCCCAGCTCAGTCAGGGTCTGGAGAATTAACACAGTATTCAACATGCATTAAAAGTGAAGCCTTTTTGTCACCTGTTGTCAGTGCAATATCAACTCTGACTTTGTCCTCTTGGCTGATGAAGCACACTTCTCTTGGTCCCAACAGGGAGGCAACTTCCTTGAGATGATTTAGAGTAGATGCGGTAAATGAGCCACCTATGAGCTTCGAGTGAGAATCATGTTGTGCTCAAATTAATTTCACTTGCACAGTTTGGAGATGTTGCTTACCCTCAAACGATGAACTTCGTTTTGATATTAATTTAGTATAATTAACACTTCTACTGATTTGAAAATCTTTGTTCTTCAAGTGTTCTGTCGTTTCATCAAGAGTTTTGAGATAAATGTAAATCTGCTTTGCTCATCTCAGAAGACCCATGTAAAGCAATGTCAACAATTGTCTTGAGAAGTAGTGGCTCATCTTCTTTAATTTGTGGTCGGCTAGCTTTCTGTCGGATCTTTACTTTATCGATTGTTTCAGGATTCTCTGCACCCAATTGATTTCAAATATCCTTTTTTTCCCTACAGAACTGCTGCTTTTCTTGCTCATATTTTTTTTTCTTTTCAATATCTAATCTAGCTCATCAATGTTTAGTTTCTTTTGTCTAAGTTCCTTTTCCTGGTCTAAAGTTATAACACCGCTGGTCTTCCACTAATACAAGCCAATCAAATCACTCTTGAAGATATTTTTTACCCTGTATCTTATATTGGGATTTATTTTGTACTTAAAAGATTCTACTTCAATTCTACTACCTCTACATGTACTGGATGGACCAGCTTCAAACATTTCATCACATTTCTGTTTTTTTTTTCATTAGGTGATTCATATTTTATATAGCTTTTTCTACTGTTACATTTTCAGCCTAATGACTGGAAGCAATTTAGGTTTTCAAAGCATTACCTGCTCAGAAGCCGAGCAGTTTTCTTGTTTTTTCTGTGCTTTTTCAGCATATTTAGCTAATAACGCATCTTCTTTTGCTAACAACTTATCTTTTTTCTTTAATTCAATTCAAATTTCTTCGCCTTCTTTTTGACTATCCTGCTTACGCTTTTTGGAAAAGCCCCTAAATAAACCTAAATATCAACTGATGATAGTGTTGTTTTTCCATTTCTTGGTGTATTAAAAAAATGAAACTGTATTATATCCCTGAATACCTCTTTAAAAAAAAAACTATGTCGATAACTGATTGTTTTTTTTTTTGTAAAATGTACAGATGAATCAGGTTAGAGGTCAGATTTTATTTCCTTTCCCCAATCTCAGATCTAAACCAAGTCATAAGGTATCTTTCTTTTCGACTGTACAATTTTATTATTGTTACTCACTTTATTTTCAATTAATTCTCAAAATATCATATTCCTACTCTATCAATATCATTTATCTTGACTGCACAAGATGATGTAAGCTTTTCCATACCTGCAACATGCTCTCAAAACATACAGCCCTAGTCATTTCCGACAAACAAAATATGCAGGTGAAGAGAGGCTACCTATTATTTCTCGTGCACTAACACAGTGTGCTAACATTCTGACCAGCCTTATGCAGAGCACAGACAGATATACATTGAATAAAACTTATATCAATAATATTCTAGAATGAAAGGACTCTTTACACTAAATAAACTTGTAAAAAAAAATATGTTAAGATTTTAATAGTGAAAAAATGATTGCTGACGTCAACTAATCTAACCCCCCTTCCTCCAACGTGTGTTAAATATTTCCAACCACGCCCCCCTCCTGCCTATTTTGTTTACATAATTAATGGACGACCCCTAAAAATGTGTATTCTAGATTTAACTCCACTCTTTAGATTCTGAAAGGATGCGGCATTTCCAACATGCATAGACATTAATGTAGTATTTTAATTATTTAAGTTATATTATAGAAATATTACTTTTGTATACGAAGTATGATAATGTTTCAGATGTAAATTTGAATTTAAATTTAATTGACTTTCTTTTTTCCCAAACATTTACGATCTCACTTATTAAACATTTGTTAATGTCATTTCTTTCTTGATAATACATACGTCATTATTTAAAATTAATTAAAATAAATTTTGGTTTTATTGAATATGATATCAACATTGTTAGCATTTTTTTAACAGCATCATACTACTCAAAGCTTAATTATATCGTCAAAATTGTGTCCTTACTTGTTGCACTGGTTTCCTCTGGTCCACATTTGAGAGATATATTCTTTAATATTGGATAGCCACCTTTCGACTGACAAACTATTGTGTCCCCTTCAGTAATTTTTATCATGTTGTTAGATTTGCTTTTGATTCCTTCATTTTTATTTATGAAAATATTTGGAACACCTGATGGACCTGTATGCAGAAGTGGCATAATAAGCTGTATACTTAATGAATTCATCAAGCTGTTTTAAAAATCACTATGTATATACATACATTCCTAATGAAATTATTGATATATATATTTTTTTTTAGTTTCATATACAATTTACTTTGCAAAATTTAGTACCTTTAACAGTCATAGTTGTTGTTATACTCGATACATTTTTCGAATATTCTTTGCTGTTTGCCAGACAGGAAATGTTATAGAAACCAGTAGATGCCATGGTTTTATTAAATATATATAGATTTTCATGTTTTAAAGACGTAATATCCATTGAAGAGATGTTTATATTTACAGTAACTGAAGGTTCTGGATTGCTTTCACTAACAAAACAAGTTCCCGAAATAAAGATGTTTGTGTCATTGCACAAATCAAAAACTTGTTTTGTCATATTAAGCCATAAAGTGTCTGGTGGGTCTGAAAACACAGTAAATCATACATTTAAACGTATTCTTAAGCAAACATAAACATGCAAGCGACGATAAAATACTAACATTTTCATTATCAGGTATATTTGATTGAATATAAAAATATTTACAATTTTAAAAAGTTATTTTAAATTTAGTAGTTGGTATTAAAATATATTTTTAAAAAAATGTGTTTCAATGTCCTAAAATAACTAGTGCTATTAATAATACATAGTAGGAAAAGTTATGTAGAAGCTTCAATAAAAAGACAGAACAAAAATATGAACGTTTCGGCTAAGATCCTTCTCTAAGCAGACAAGACAAATGAAAATACAACAAGAAATTGAGAATAGGTAAACGTTTATCTGATTTCCATTGTTATTACCAGAGTTTGGATTTTTCAAAACCAAGATTACAAGAAGAAACAAAAAAATATTGTTAATGTGAACTTAAACCTTAAGTCGTTACTGACAAAAATATGTTGGAGATATATAAAATATAAGAAATAAGACGAGAAAAGTTATATAGGGAAATTGAGAATCATTAGTGAACATGCATTTGATCAATTCCATATGGTGTTATTTCGCCATATATTTGCCCTGTCTGATAAGCAAAGCTTTTAGCCTAAATATTAATATCTGATTGTCCTGTCTTTTAATTTAATTGTTCACATATATTGTCATACTATTTCATTAAAATAGCTTTACTCGAATTATTACACTTTTTAAATAATAGACGCCTCAAACCTGTGCATAATATTTTCCTAATATAAACCTATAAATTGGAATTTAAAAAAAAAAAAGCTACATTTCTTTTTACATACTTTAATTACTATTCAAAATATCGAAAACTTATTAATTATTCAAAGGAAATTTTAAACATGTTTTCTTTTTATATTGTTATGTATAACGTTTTACATGATTTCCCTGTGCTTGAATTTTGCTTGACCCAAAATAAATTCCTTAGCAGACGTTAGCATTTGTTATGGGCGTGGCCTATTCTTTTGATGTATTTTGTTGACTATCACCTTTCCAATTAAACCTTGTTAGACTGTCTCCTAGTATTTTGTAGAATGATTCCGATTGTTCTAGAAATGTAAACGAATGTTGAGTAGCTGCTGGAAGGCAGGGTTACGCATCGGTAGACCCACCTCTATAAGGGATTGATAGATACGGAGAGAAGGAGATTCAGATAGATATTAACTTTACGAGGCGTGTTTTATTCTTTGTGTATTTGTGTGCTCATATGGGTTTATTTCACATTTCATCATCCTTCAACGGCACAATATACTAACTGTGCTAAGTGAGTAATGGTACAAGATCTACCATAATGTAAGTTGAAGACTTTCATTATATTTTCTTTTCTTTTGTTATTATAATAAGACTTCATAAATCGTATTAATTGTTTACAACGAGCCATACATTTTAAATAGGAGATTAATTTCTCACAATAGAAGCCAGTGCGTAAAAATATGCTTACATGAAATATTTGGAAGAAAGTAAACTTGATCTGTCCAATTCAAATGATTTGAGATTGTACATAGAAATGACTGTTTTCCTGGAAGAAAATATTTTTCTCATAAATTTGTAAATACAATTGTATTTACTATTTTAAATTCTAAATTTAAATGTTCTTATGACTAGTTATATGTAATGTAAGGGTGGTTTAAAAAAATAATTAAAAGACTAATATTGAAGACATGTCCATTTTAACTTTATTAAGGAATAGAAAACGCTAACAAGTGTTGTTTTATTAGCTGTGTTCATTTAACACATTGAAAAAGAACTGAAAAGGAATATTGAAAATAAACCAATAATGTAATTAAATCGTCAAATTATTAAACTTACTTTTTGCTGTAAAAAACAATGTTTCTTTTCGAAAAATAATTGATTTGTTTGTTAACCAATTTATTTGTGTTGGCAAAAAACTGTTGTTGATATCCAAGCAAGTGCAATTACTTTGTTTATTTTCCATAACATAGCCTTGGACTTCACAGTCTGTTCCAAGAAGTGCTCTCGGATAACCTGATTTCATGGAAATTAAATAAATTTTTTAAATATTGTAAGAATGTGAATATAAAAACAATGTTGTAGTTTGTTTTTCTTTTCCTTTTAAATTCTTACTTACACATATGCCCTTAAAATGTGATTATAGCATGTGTTATTAAGCATTAGAGTCTATAGCGTTTTTTATCTTACGTTTTAAATTAAGTATCTGTAACGAAATTCGATACATAAAACTCAATATCCTTTGCAAAATGTATTTTTAATTTTAAAAAATATATTAGTAATTGTAATACAAACTTTGTAAAAAAAAAATGCGTCCCACTCCCTTTAAAATTGTATTCAAGAGTTTACGGTTTAAAAAATATATATAATTTTTTTAAATTTGCCAATCCCAGAGCTATCGTAGCTTATCACACAAAATAAAATATTAACCTTCGCGGACTCTGGATCAAAAGGGTTACAATTTAGTTATTCCCAAGATATGGATTTTATGGGATGTTTTATGGTTTTGCACATTGAATGTATTTAATATTTAAATTATTAGCAGTAAGTAACACAGGATTAAAAGCAAGTCAACATACAATTACAATGCAAAAGCTAGTTACATAAAAATAGTCCATTCAATTATACTACTAAATGTATATACAAAATCAAATATAAATAGTTACATTTATACACACTATTTCACAGTGTAGACTGCAAATATTAGCAAACAATTCCACAAGAAGTAAAATCTGGTAAGGCTATTAAAAGTAGTGTAAATTTGGTAAAATTGTATAGCGATTAAGTTATAACACCATGGAACATAAATCTAGAAATAGCATCATCTGATAGCATTCTTAAAGGGAAATACAACTTCAATAACTTTTATTTTTTAAATAAAAGGACATGTTTTTAATGGAAGAGAGCAATGCATACGTTCGGTGATATCAACATCAAAGGAAAATACATTCGTTTGATGCCACTGCCTATGGAAGGGCTTGCCTCAACCCTTCCATCCACTAATATCTAAATGATACTTCTCTCTTCCATCCTTTTATTACAAGCTGCTGTAGATCTTTGTCAACATCAACCATCAATGTAAGCCAACGTGTGTCTTTGAGCCGTATTTTTTTTATTATTTTGGTTAGTAATTTATTTTTATTTTACTTCATTTATTATATATACAAAATGTATGAATAATTTTATTTGCAAAAATGCGGTTTATATTTGTATTGGTTTCATTTGTCTTTTCTTCCAATGTAAATTTTTTAGGCTTTTATATTTTAGCCCTGCTTTAAGTGAAACCTATTCTACCTAATCCAATAAAAGTGTAGAATATATCTTTACTAATTTCACTAAGAGGGCTATGTCATAAGTTTATGCAGGGATGGTTGTAGGTTTGGGGTTTAGGGTTTCCTTCAGAAAGTAAACTTTGACTGTTTCTCGGTGTTAATATGCATGATTTTTATAAATCTATAATGTTAGATTAAATTGCATGCAAGACATTGAGTTTCCTCAAAACATTAGCGGGGGATGAATGGTGGACGCTAAATATTTGCGTTAAAACACAATTAGATCAGCACACACGCTTTAACAAGGGGAAAATTATATATCCTTCACATCCTTGAAATATTTCTTTTCCCCTTGCATCCGTCCGTAACAATATCACAATGGCGCAGACTTCGCGGAACAAAATCCACAAGTCCTGTGATTATTCTTCTAGGATTATAAGTTGGTTTCCAAAAGCATATTGCCTCTCACCACTCCGCTGGATAGCAAAATGGAACATCATGTGGATAATACAGCTTGGCACCAGTGGTGTCGAAGGAGTTTTCGAAAAGTTTCATTGTACGAATGTTATTCGCATACGGTACCTAATCTCTGGGTTTGAATTCATAGTTTCCTTCCCTTCGATGATTCAAGGTTAACAAATCCCTTGAACCCGGATTTAAATTAATAAATACATAAAGTTTATATATTTATCGCATTTAAATAAGACGAAATATGCATAGTATTTTACATTTTAAAAAAAAATGATTTATACAATAAACATGTGTTTATATTTGCAAATGAAATTTAACTTTATTTATATTTTATAATGTTACTCTGACAACTGAAACGTGTCAATACAAATGTTTTTTATTCTTATTGGCAGTTCTGCATCTGTCCCTTATTTTCATAGAAAAATTGTCAAAATAGCGCAAAGCCCTTGTTAAAATATTATATTCAAGATACAAATAAACTTATTTACCTTGTTATCTCGACAACTGTCTTCTAAACCCCAAATTTTTTATGACATAACTAGTTTAGAGTCAATGAGTTTATCTTTAGAACAGTAACTATATTGTAAAATTTAAAAAAATAATAAAACAAACTAACTTTATACAAAACTTTATCATATTAATTTCGGTAAAAATATGCAAATAGAAATATTTTTATAATGTGGTCCCGTGACCACGATATGGTGGATATTTTATACATTAGTACACTTATGTAAAGGTATCCACGTTTTGTAAAAGCACTTCTTAATTTGTAAAACATATGTGCATTTGTTAGAAAAGAATGTAACATCTTATTTACGATTATAATCTCAATTGATTTAAAGATCCGTGTATTCACGTAAAAATGCATACAACTTATTTTCGAACCCCCAATATGGATTTTCCGAAGAACGTCTTTTTTTTCAAATTCTTTCCATTATTCTTAGATTTATGTTGTGCTTTCCTAAAGCTATATGAAAGTATTGATACAAGGATATAGGCAATATATATATAATATATATATATATATATATATATATATATATATATATATATAATTATATATAGTTATTCCTCGGTATTCGTCTGCTTCGGAATAAGTCCAACTTGGTATAGGTCCTGGTTGGACGAAAAACCTTTTGCTTCGTTTGGAATACGATACGAATGCGTGCTAGAGCTTACATGTGTCAATATGACACATTGCGCACAGACTATGATGGATGTACTCTCTTCTTCATCAGAGGAAGATAAGATAGAGGTAGCTCCTACTTCATTAATCAGGAAAATCTTTGCCTAATGGACGGATGTCAAAAAATTGCAGAGAATTACCACCCCAACAAAGCTCAAACAATTCGTGATAGCTTTGTCTGGAATGACCATATAATGTCACATTTTCGAAACATCCTGAGGAGAAGTTCTGAGGACAGACGTTATTGAAAGTCAAATGTGGTGAGCCAGGGTCATCTAGGGAAAAGAGGGGGAAAAAAACAACAACAGAATTTCTTATTTCTCAAGTTTTATTGGAAGCGGACTCTCTTTCAAAACAAAACAAAAATGTTCTCCTTCTTATCACCATATTAATAAGCACTTGACTCTTCTCACCAAGGTCATGTGAGGTATAATTTTCATTTATTTCACCCAAATTCTTTTTATTATTGTATTTTAGTACTAAGCAGTTTTAAATTATTTTACACCACCACATCAATAAATGAATACTATGCCAATAAAAATATGATTTTTTCAATGGGAACGTATTAATCTTTTACCCATTTATTTATTATGGGACAAATACGTTTGTTATGCGTCCTGTTTGTTATATATCAAAGAATCTGGAACAGATTAATTACGTATACCGAGGTACCACTGCATATGTATATATATATAGATTAAGATAAGTCTTTGGTCAATACATCAATTTAAATCCTAAATAGTATAAATAATAATAATACACATATAAACACGCTAAAACATATACGTATTTAAACAGACGTTAAAGCTTGACGACTGGATATATGCATAGTTGACAAATCCACGTACGCGTTAAAGATGCGGATGTTTTATTACTTTTATGTTTAGCCTCCTATGGTACAATTATATATTTTTATTTTAATTAAATCAAATAATTATAATTATATAAAGAAAACAAATATAAGAATTGTTTTATGGATGAAGTTTTTTTAAAATATTTTTATTGCAGTGTCTTTTATACATATAGTAACTTAAATTATTTACGGTCTAAAGACATTTAGACAAAGAGTTTATAATCGTGTATAATGTGTCCGAGATATATTTAATTCATTATTTTTATCAGTTAGACCACAGTAAAAAAGTAACTACTTCTTAGGAAAAGAACTGTCAAATTTATAGGAAATGAATTTGATTCGGATTAAATTAATCAAATACAGCTAATATCACTTTTATTTCAATAATATATTATATATATTTAAAATGTTAATATCATAAAAAAGAAGATGTAGATTCATTTTACTCATTTTACTATAATACGCTCATTTACATGAAACCGTTCGAATACTTAAGGGCAAATTTTGTATACATAATATTAAATACGACCTTTTACAACAAATATGTACAATATAGAATTAAATATGAACGTGTTGTATATTTACCTAAGTATATGGCAATCGTGTAATTACTTGTGCTCTTCATTTCCTCTGTTATATCTGATGTGATGTTTGGATACATGACAACACGAAACATGTGAGATCCAGGTCCTAGGACGGCAGCAGACACAACCAAAGTGCACGTTGTTTTGTAATAGAGTGTAGTCAAATTTTGCTCTTGTGTGTAGCTGATGTGTCCTTGTTTTAATTCATATTCTGATGAAATCTTCATGAATTAGATGTTAAAAATGTTATAATATGTTTAAATTCATTAGAAGTCAATACATTTTAGAAAATTAAGAATATATTTTTTTTTAAAATATTTTTTATAAAGTTTTATCTACATGGTCTTTGTGAAGCTGATCCTCAAACTGCTTATATAAAAAGTTTTAGGAAGAGAAATGGGAAATTGACGTGTCCTGTGAATAAACAATACACATTTTTTTTCCTTTTTCAGGTTATTTAAATTCCAACATGTTTTTTTTTTTTTAAATAAAATATATTTTTTACAATTATATTATGTTAAAACCCCTTTCAAAAATAAACTTAGCAATGAAAAAGATTTCTAGATTAATTTTTCATTTGTAAAAAAAATTTTTTTTTTTTTAAATAAAATATATTTTTTACAATTATATTATGTTGAAACCCCTTTCAAACATAAGCTTAGCGATGAAAAAGATTTCTAGATTAATTTTTCATTTGTAAAAAAAAAAACTGTCCAATTTACTATGCGTGCTTGAAAAAAAAAAATTTTTATCAGAGAATTAAAATTCAAGAAAAAGTGTACTTAACTTCCTATAAAGAAGCCTAAGTTAAAATAACTTTGAAATACAATTTTGATTTCAGGAACTGCCCGTTTTAGCTATAACAATGGTACGAATTAAAAAAAAGAGCATTATTTAAACATACAATCTAAATTTTAAAAGATGACTAAATAAAAAAAATGTAATCGCTCAAGTTAAGATAAATTCATCCGTGCAGGAACGAATTTGGTACTGATATATTTTTGCATTCATATAGGTGATATAATTTATATCAGGACTATTCTTGGAAACAAAAGCTCTATATTTGTATTCGCCTTTTTTATCGTTTATCTGAAGCTCTATGCACATTGGTAATATTTCCGATGTATAATTGTATGTGTATACAGTGACAGCTTCCTTTTGTATTTCTTGTTTGATCATTATAAAAATCTATGAATGTTGCGACTCATTATTTCCAATTGTTATTTTATTAGAAGGAGCGATTATGAAAACGATGCTTACCTCATAAGTAAGCGCAACAGAGGCCCTGATGATTTGAGTTTTAGACCCTTGATCTAATGAATACTTTGGATTTTATCATTTTAATATGAAAGTAATTTAAATTGCTTTACAATTTTTTTTAAAAATTAGTATGGTAGTAGAAAATTTGGCAAAAACGGAGGGGGTGGGAAATTAATCCAAAATAGAATCTTTAGGTCCCTTTGCTTTTATAATATAATTACAACCTAGATATACCTACAACAGTTATTTGTGGCTCTAATAGAGCCAATGGCCACCTAAATATATGTTATTGAGGCTGTAAAAATATCACCACAATGTTTCGCTGTTTTGGTAATACTAATGACTTGTGTTTTCATTAATAGTTTGCAAGATATCACTGTATTAATATTCAACCTAGTAACAACACACTAGTCTTTCCGTGCTCGTGATGTAATTATTTCGTTGGGGGTCTACCTCCCTCAGTCCACATTGGTGGTGAAAATTAATATTTTAAACCGGGTCTTCCAAAATTGTTCTGGTCATGGTTCTAAAAGATCGCTTAATTTTTTCTTAAAGATCGCTTTATTTGTTTTTAAAGATAGTTTAGTTTGTTCTTAAAGCCCGCTTATTCTGCTCTTAAAGATCACTTAGTTTGTTCTGAAATATCGTTTTGTTTTTTTCTCAAAGCTCATTTAGTTTGTTAAAAAAAAGATTGTTATGTTTTTCTTAAAGATTGCTTATTTTTTGTTATTAAAAGTTCGTTTAGTTTGTTCATAAAGAACACTTAGTTTGTTCTTAAAGATCATTGATTTAGTTCTTAACTATCACTTAGTTGTTCTTAAAGATCATTCAAATTGTTCGTAAAGATCATTTCGTGTGTTTTTATAGATCTTTTAGTTTGTAATTAAAAATCGTTTAGTTTGTTCTTAAATATTGCTTATTTTGTTGTTGAAGATCGCTTAAAATTTTTTTTTTCATAAGGATCGCTTAGTTTGTTCTTAAAGATAATTGATTTTGTTCCCTAAGATCGATACGTTTGTTGTTGAATATCTTTTAGTTTGTTCCTAAAGAACATTTAGTCTTCTGTTAAAGATCGCTTAGTTGATTCTTATAAATCATTTAGTTTTTTAATAAAGATCATTTGTTTATTCTTAAAGATTATTTAGTTCGTTCTTAAAAATCGATTAATTTGCTCTTAAATGTCACTTAGTTTGTTATTAAATACCTTTTGGTTTGTTCTCAAAGATCGCTTAATTTGTTCTTAAAGATCGCTATATTTGTTTGTAAAGATCGCTTTATTTGTTTTTTAACGAACGTTTATTTTGTTCTTAAAGATCGCTTGATTTTTCTTTAAAAATCTTTTCTCTGTCGGCCAAAACCGAAAATAAGCCGAAAATCAACTTTTCATTTTCGGTCGAAACCGAAACTGGCCCGAAAGTGATCGAATGGCCACTTTCGGCGCCGAAACCAAAGCTCAAACCGAAATTCGGTCATTCTGTAATTCTAAAATATGAGAAATTGCCTATGGAAACTGGAAAGGAACGTGTGGATGCTACTGTGACAAAATCTCAAACGAGAGAGGTCTGATGATCATGGAATTCACCTGCTTCAACGATTTCATTCAGGCCAACACATAGGATGCACATAATATATCTAGAAAAACTACATGGCATAGTGCCAATGGAAATTACCACAAAAGACCTCGATCTAGTTGTGATGACCTTTATGATGTGCATAAAAAGGGTAAATAAACTCAGTATAGCAGCATCAAATTCGACCTTAAAAAACTGAAGAATCGTAAAATAACAGAAACCTTCACAGTTTTCATAGGAGGAAATTGTGTAGTGCTTAGATATATAGATGCCGACAATTTATACATGGACACACTGATTGATAACTCCAAAAAAGCTGTTACGGACACAGCTCATGACTTTAGGGTGGCCCAAAAAACTCAACTTTCACCTACAGAGCAAGACACCCTCTAACTTTTTTCCTTGCAACAAACCCTTAATTAGCGCAGAGCTTAAGCCTCTTGTGCCAACTGCAAAGTGATGCTCAACGACCATGGATTTTCAAAATTTCATCGAAAATTTCCGAACTTTCATGGAATTTCCATTTTGCATATTTACTTACTGTATCTTGTTCTTTGTGTTATATTTTACTTACTTAGGGTTGGCTGTTTAACTATTCTATGTCATAACTTCTTGTTTAGTGTTACTGTCACAGAGCTAAGTTGAGTTAAAGGAGTGAAGTGAGGTGAAAATTATGACATATAATTTATAGAGTATGGAACTTGGTAAGACGAACCAATAAGAAAAAGAAGAGTACAATGGAAGTTGGAATCATGTTGGTTATTTTAAGTCCATGCAATTAATATATTTATTATGTGACGATGAGAACATACCGACCAAAATTAGCAAATCAGGTAAACAGCAAGACAAGATAACTCAAGTAAAGAAAACCTCTCGAGACCAATTGTTCAATCCAAGTGTAACAAGTGCCTTTGACCGTAATAAAACATCTGATCGTAAAGCTGTTCGGCTACTTATTCCTGTTTCTGCAGCGCTTAGTCACGATCCAAATGCACTTCCTATTTCACGTAGCACTATTCAACGAGCGCTGTCAAGTGCTGGGCATGACATTTCTAAAACAATGAAAGATAATTTTGAGCCAACTTGCCCATTAGTAAGCCATTGGGATGGAAAGATACTTCCAGCAATATTCGGGGAAGGCTCAGTTGACAGGCTATCAGTTTTAGTTTCAGGTGATGGGATGGACAAACTGAGAATGAAGCAAATGCTTTTCACAAATTGTTGGCGGAGTGGCAGCTGGTTGAGAAGGTTAAGGCTATGTGCTTTTACACAACCCCAGTAAATACCGGCAGAATAAATGGAGTATGTGTTGGCCTTGAAAACAGGCTAGGTCATGAAATTCATGTTTAGCCTGTCGTCATCATGTAATGGAGAACATCTTGTCAAAGGTTGTCACCATCTGCTGTAAACCTTCAAACTCCCCAGATATCCCAATTTTCAAACGATTCAAAGGCTGTTGGAGTGTCATCACAAGGCAGGACTTTTCAGAATTCCAGGTGACACCCGAAGCCTCCAGTTTACCAGATGCAACCATTGCAGTCCTGACCAAAGAGCACCTAAAGGAACAAGTCAGAGATGACTACATGGAGCTTATTGAGTTGAATCTGATTGTTTTGAGACATCCACCCAGTACATTCCACTGGAGGGCTCCAGGACCAGTACATCGTGCTCGCTGGATGGCAAAATTACTTTATGCCATGAAAATATATATCTTCCAAAAGCAAACAGATGTGTTCAAGCTTACAAAGAATTAAGAAGCCCAAGTTGAGCGCTTTGATAAGTTTGGTGCACTAATTTACACCAAGCATTGGGTAACTGCTCCCCGTGCAACTGAAGCTCCATCCACTGATTTACAGCTGTGGACTGATCTCAGCAGTTACCAGATCATCGATCCTGACATCAATACAGATGCAAGAAAGTTCATAGAAAAATCATCTCTGGTATTTTTCAGACGAGCTTGTTGGATTAGCCCTGTTCTCAGATCATGTGACAGCAGCTGCAAAGATGGGAATTGTGCAGGGAATGACCCATGAGACTGGCGAACGAAAGGTGCGTGGAGATTCATCAATCTCCGAGTGCCCGAGTTGTCTAAACTGAGCAAATCTCAAGTTGGTGGTCTGGAGTTCAATTCCAGCTAGAGCAAAAACACCACCAGCACCCCGGGTATATGGGACTCGTTAACCTTGGACGGCAACTCATCTAAGAGAAGGAAACTCTGAAATCAAACCCGGAGAAGGAGTCCCGAAAGGCGGATAACATTGATACAATGAAACATTCCGACAACTCCTGCGACGTCACTGGTGCCAAGCTGTATCATCCAATGATGTTTCCTTGGGTTACCCAGCGGCGTGGAGAGAGGCGATTTGCTGTTGGGAACCAGCTTATAATCCTCAAGTATAATAATCCCAGGCTATGTGGATTTCGTCCTACGAGGCCCACTCCATCGCACATTGTGACGGACGGATGCCAGCAAAAAAAAAAAATGAAACCAGATGTATGTTTAGGTGACTTTGGAACTACCTGAACGGGGAACCTTCTTTGTTGTCCTAACATTGACAGCGCTTTTCTTGATTTGCCACCACTAGAGTGGCCTACAAGTGAACAGTATCGATATGGCCAGACACGATTCAAGTCATTACGTGTTGTGAACGACACTACAGAGCAAGCGGTGAAGCTTTTTGTAGAATACAACACACTGCTTACTAACGACGAAGTAGAAAAACAACTCTTAATACAAGTAGTGGAAGCAAACCGCAAGGCTGTTCCAACACAAATCAACTAAAAGTCTGATGTTCAGGCCTTAATGTCAGGATGACAATAACATTGACTGATAATGCACACTTTTGTGACTTGAATTTGAGTTGGTTAAATGTTCAAGTTTTTAAGGAACAGCACAATTGTACCTTTTAATTACGACAAATGCCAATTATCATATGTTTAAACTTAGTGGTTAATTTGGAAAAGAGTGTTGAACTGCTGATATTAAAAAGCTATTGCTGGTTGTAATTTTTTAAAAAAAATTAACATATGAGTATTGCTTCATTTTGCTCGAATTTCATAAAATTCGGATATTATATTGCTCTGGAGCACCGTCTTGTAATTAGAATTTAAAGCTAAAACTTTACCAAAACATTACTATTAGCGGATGTAAAAACTTGGGAGGGAGTCGTGCTCTATAGCACACATTTCTTTTTTTGCCATATCTCAATGAACCACCCTATCATGACATCCTTGGTAAACATCGAAAAACCCAAAATCATTTGGTAATATCTGACATCCTCGATTAAACGGAGGTAATTAAAGAAAACAAAGATGGTCGATACAAAAGAGGCAAATAAATATAGGGCAGTTATTCAAGCAATTAAAAATGTATGAGAAAAGCAAAGAAGATATTTTTTTAAGAGAAAAAAAAAATGAAGAAAAACAGTAGCGAGAAGGCAATTCAATTTTTTTAAAAAGCAACAAACTGCAAAGCAAAGGCGTAGTACTACCATTCAAGACAAAATGATAAATTATTGACCGAGGAATATGACATCTCAAAAATATGGGCTGAATACTGCTCAGAGCTCTATAATGAAACATAAAGTCAGCCCCAGAGATATTTAATGACTCTCCATTAAAGGACACTGCAGTCTACCCTTGTATCTGAGCAGTAGGTGAAGCAGCTGTTCAAGCACCCGGAAATAGGAAGGACTGCAGGGGGGATAATATCCCTGGCAAATTGAGAAATATGGAGGAGAAACAATGATAAGTTCTGGAACCAGCTCCCCTTCCATATCCGTCATAGTGAAACCTCGTCCCTTTTCAAAAAGTCCCTTAAAACTCATCTGTTTAGGTCCGCCTATGACCTGTGATGCATCCACCTTGCCCTACCCCATTTTCTGTTTCGGGTTGATCCTAAAGTGTCAAAGTGTCCTCGTTTTATAGCCATTTTCATTGTTTCTATAGAATAGTAGTTACTATCCTAGTGTCTCATTTGTATTTACTTAGTTTACATGTTTTAATAATTGTAAAGCGCTTAGAGCTTTATGATAAGCGCTATATAAAAATGCCTAAATAAATACATAAATAAGTGCCCTAGTCAATATATGTAACAAAATATGGCTGACAGGGAAATGACCCAAATCGTATACCACATCCCTCATCATCTACTTCATCAAGAAAGGTAACTTACAGCTATGCCAAAACTATCGCAACATTAGCCTAATAAGTCCCCCAAGCAATGTCATGCTAAAGGTCAGTTTAAACCGACTAGGACCTTATGTCGACAAAAGCAATGCTTAATAACAGGCGGGCTTCAGGAAAAAAAAACATGGCACTACTCAACTTGTGCCTAACATCCGAAGAATGTGTGGAAATATGCTCAACACCAACAAAACCTATACCATGTATTTGTTAATTTCAAGAATGCATTCGACAGGGTTTGGCATGCTGCTTTATGAGCCACCATGAGGCACTGCAACATCAACTAAACCTAACCAGAATGATATGCAGTTTCTATAGGAAGGGTATCAAACCTTTCGCATTGCAGGCCTATTTTTAAAGAAATAATATTCCTATGGGGGCACACAACATTTTGTTGTTGTTTTTATTAACTGGATTAAACAATAAAGCGTGATACAGCTTCGATCACATCATCTCACCTATATACGTCACCTGATAGTGAAATTTATGTTTGTAAAACTCAGATATTTAATGCTAGCCAAATACGTCTTTACAGAACGAATCCAAACCAACTTAATAGCTTCTTTTTATAAGGTTTATCACAACACCTTTCACATTGTTGCATTTGAAATCTTCCTGGTAATAAATTTATGTCTGCCGGAAATCTCGTTTAAAATTCACCAAAAAATGTTGTTTTTTTAAATCGTGAAATAGGTTTTCATATTTGAAGTTTAAGTCAGATATTAAATTAAATATGCATATTTATCCGCCGCCTTTTGTGTGATTTCTGGTTGAAATGACAATGTAGGGAAGTAAGTAAAGTTTTTTATCCTCAGCTTTTGTTCCCAATACCAAGTTTCATTTTAATTGCAGAAATAGCTTATTAATTAATTGATATTTCCCGTTTAGATGAGTATTAACATCATTTTCTTTTCTAGTTACAATGACCAGAAATGCGAAGTCGCAAAGCCACTTCTTTTATTCAAACTCTGGAATACTTATTGCAATGAATGATTGTCTAGCTTTATGCAAATCAAACACTCTTTTCAATGTTTTTTTGCGTGGGTCAATCATCTTACTTAGCATATAATACAGCGTAATTATAATCGTTTGAAAACTTTAGAAATTCAATTCTTAGAACTTATGGTGATTCAACCTATTCGACTTAATGAGGAAACTATTTGTTTAATCACTTTTATTATATTGTTCTTTTTGAGGAATTTCTCTTAGTTAAATTTTGTAAATATATGATATGAATGACTCGTGATGGAATCTTCTTTCGCTTATGTACAATAAATTGAGTTGATAGTTATGTTCCTTTGATCTAACTCTGCATTACCAAATGCTAAAGTCCTTACCTCACCTTTCACTTTGACTGAGTTGCAAACCGCCACTGACATGTGCAACGCTGCCAAGACATTAGGTTCGGACAAGATCTAAAACGAAATGGTAAAAAATGTGGCCCTATAGCTAGGACACGACTAGTGTGAACATTATCAAATCCTGTGTAACAAGAATCCAACCCATAGCTTGGCTTAGCGCTACTATCATTCCCATTCCCAAAGAAGAAATGAAACTGGATCAACTGACCAGCTACCGGTCATCACCAAGTTGAGGGTACCCGAGAGATTGGTTAATAAGAAGCTCTACTGGTACCCGGAGAGCCCGGGAGCCTCAGTCCAATACAGGCAGGCTTCCACAACTTAGTGCGGCCTGTGGATTAGGTTCTCCATACTTCTCCATTCCATTACATATGAACTATAGAAAAAGTCAGTTGAACCTTCTTCCTAGACTACAGCAATGACTTGCCACAAAATCTAGCAATTATTATTGCTATGTATGTCCACGCTTTGGTAATATTGAGCACCAAATAAGATGTCCACTGCCTGCAAACACGAATTTTCTGCTATCAATAGGTACATGCTATGGAGGCTTCTGGAAATTAACACCGAGACGATGGTCTAATCGCTATTGACCAACCGGGGCATCATTGTCAAACAGGAGATCGACCTCAAGGTGGGCGAAGTAGCGCTTAAATGGGACAATTAACTAGGTTACCTGGGAGTCAAATTTGATAAAAAGGTACACATTCACAATTTTGTTCAAGACCTCTTCTCCCAAGCAACTCTAAGCTCAATCTGGCAAAAAATGGCTTGCAAAGTTTGGGCGCGGCGCAAGAGCGCTTAAAGCTATATATCTAGGCATTGTAAGGTTGGTGCGGGATTATAGAATGCCAGTCCAATCCTTTGCTAATAAAACTGCATTGGAAAAGTTGGGCCGAATCCAGAATGAGGCCCTGAGATACATCTGTGGTGCACTTTCAGGACCACACCCACATATGTTGTAGAGGTCTTCTACGAAGTAGAACCGTTACAAATAAGGAAAGGAACAGCAATATTAAGTACCTTATAGCGAGAAATAACCTCCGTTCCAGATGAAGAATTATTGGGTTGCTGGGCGGGAGAATAAAGCGATACTCTTTTATACGCCAGGACGTCGAGCTTGAGTGTGCAGTCGACCTGACTTGCAATAAAGAGCGTCTGACCCTAATCAATCCGCCTTGCCATATGTGGGACCCTCACATCCGTCCATACTTTTGACCTTGACAAATGCAGCAGTGATGAAAACAGAAGCCAGGGCGGTTGAAGAGCCCTTTTTGAGGAAAATGTTGTTTTGCTCATCTAAGCAGATGGAGTTGACTAGCTGGGGTCATAAGAGAGTAATCTTAGACCTTCATCAGAATATGTGATTTAGCATGATAATCTTCTGGAGACTGTAAAAAACTTAAACTGGAATGGAATGGCTGCGAGACAAGAAAATTAGGCAAAGCTGTGGGAAGTACAGAAAACAGAGAAGAATGGAGGGGGTAGTTTTTATGTCTTCACTGGCGCCCCAAAAGTCCAAGGACTAAAGGACGTGTTGATGTAGTGGATATATACAAATATATATATATATATATATTATACACTACACATCCGCAATATACCTATCATCACAGCCTTAAAAGCTGCACGCAAAACAAATCTTTTTAAACTCACTATAAAGACTGATTCCGGACTGTGACTGATAAACGATGCTGCTTGATTACATGCATGGCTTGACAGGTACATAGTTCTGTAATAGGTGGAGATAATATACATTTGTTTTGTTTTATTCAATTAATGTAAGTTAATATATATCTTTAAAGTTTCATGTTTGCTTTCTGTTTTCAATTGTATGTACATAATTTTGAGCCCAGCCCTATACAATAACTAATACATAGATATGTATAAATATATATACATATATATTCAGCTATTATTGACGCTCCATTTCAATCAATAGTTTTTTAATGTTGGCATATCAGGCAACCTGAGTTAAATTTTTAATGTTGAAATTTTTTTGAGTCTATGCAAAGAATTTGAGAACAAAGAAGAGCATGCCCAGTTAGGTAGATGAAATATTCAATGCAAATGGAACATACCTGGTATATTAAAAATCAATTGCATATTATGAGTACATTAGATTATGTTGATGACAATGCCGAAACGAGAGGACTATAGGTTAGAAATATTTTCGATTAACCAATATTTTCTTCGCAACTAATATCATTTAAATAATGATTATGTAACAAATCTTGTGTCTACAGGAGTTTGACATGGCATTTTTCGTTGTAGTGTTAACGAGGTTCTTAGAAAGTCAACAAGGAAGTTAAACATTGAAAACAATATTTTTTTTTTTTATGTGTAAAGGAGGATTCTCTACTTCATTTCACAGGTTGTTTTTTAATGGGTTGAAGAAAGAGTTTGGTACCAGGAAATACAATAACTGACATGACGTATAATCACATCCCATCACACAGCTTATACAAGTATTCACATACTTTATTTAAGCGGACGATTTTGGCCGCACTTTTTTAGAACCAAGTTACGGATGTTATATTAGGAAATATAATGGAAGAAGATAACAGATCCAGGCGACGACGGTAATGTAGATCGTAGGTCTCATATAATAGATCTTCATGCTACCATGGTAGTGTGAATAATAATAATAAAAATGATAAAGTTTATTTAAAAATAAAGCTTCATCCCCAAAAGCTCGAAACGCTGTACAAAGTCAACAATATTAAAAAAAATGAAAACATCTATAATATACCACATTGAAATATAAAACGCAACATTACAAAAACTACATAAGAGAATACCCATTCTAAGTCTTTAATCCCTTGCTACCATAAACAACATGGGCCAATATTTATGTAGGAGATCATAGCCAGCTGGAAAAGATGGTAGAAAACACCATATCAGTTGTTTGCGAAATAGATGTGATTTCAAATCGGTTCTGAAAGACTCCAGTGTCAGGGTGTTTCTGAGAGCGACAGGAAATGTGTTCCAAATTGTTGGGCCAGCAAATGCAAAAGTGCGCCTTTCGTAAGTCTCAAGGTGACACGTGGTAACGAGAGTTTTCCAGTATCTTTTGAGAGGAGTTGTCTAGTGGGTACATAATTCATCATGAGCACTGTGAGATTGGAGGGTGCCAGGTCATGCTAGCAGTGGTAGCATAGAGTTGCAATTTTTTAATTGTCAAAAGAGGGTCGAGCAACCATACATTTTTATTGGAGTCAAATTGAATTTTCTTTACATGCGATTCAGTGACCTCCACAAATTTGCTCATAGTAATGTCTTTAAACGGAAGGAATTTGGGAGCATCGATGGAAATGTCAAGTCTCACCGTAATTTTCGTAATGTTTGCAATAAAGAACTCATTTAGAGGGTCTGGCCGCTCGGCTATGACAATCTTATTTAGCAAAGATGTGTTCTTCTGTTCGCCGGTCAGCTGACCCACACTATGAAATAATTCCGTAATTGAGCTACAATTTAGAATATGGTGACTGACATATTCAGTATTACCTGAAAGGACCAACTTCTTTGTTCGTTCCTTGTAATCAACAAATATTTGACTGTAAACGGTCAAGCCAGACTTCCGCCATTTGCGTTCTGCACTTCACTGCTTATTCTTCCCATCCTTTCTTTCGGGCGTGAGTCATGGGGCGGAATGATGGAACGTAACGCACAGTGTGGACAGTTGTGTATGTTTGTCTAACATGACACTGAGGCCACTTCTTTAGTCTTTCTCAAGGTCTACTCAACTGCATCTGAGGGCAGCGAAGTCACATCTGAAAGCCACTAGATCTATCTTTTGGAAGTCACGGAATGTGAATTTGTGCTGAAGGCGTCCAGGCTATGTCAGTCAAAGTCAAAGGTTACTGGGAAATTTTCAGAGATCAGTTTGTCTTCAATAATAAGGTTGCGGGACATAGCTGCACGTTCATCGTGCCACTATGGTAAAGTAGTTACCAGGGCACATATTACAAATCCTCATGCCATCATTGTAATGAATTTACCAGGGCACATATAATAGATAGTAAGGCCACCACGGTAATGTTACAAGATGAAATAATTTTGCGGATGATAGGTGCTTGAAAAATACAATATGACGATTACCACATTATTAAAGAAAACACATTTAGCAAATGGTTAAGTTATTGATAATGGGTTAAATAAATGCTCAAAGAGGATGAAATTAATTGTGTCTCGCACACAAAACAAGAACAAATCACTTTCAAGACAAGTGATATTATTTTTAAGGAATATTTACCTAGGTACCTGCATCATTCTGCAGGATGGTTTTGGACGCAGCTTATACTTCAACATTAGCGGGACACATGTATGTTGGTGGGACGAAATAAAGATTTTTTTGTGAAAATCTTTTCCCGAATATGAGCAAAGACGTTGCAAATTAAGTAAAAACATGTCCAATCTGCCAAAAAGCACGTCGGCCAGGATATGTTGAACCTATAGAATTAGGTCAGATGTAAGTTAAGGGTGAACCATTTAAAAAGGGTTGCTATTGACATTTGGAGGATGTCGAACTAAGTGCACATTAGAGCAGGTTTATCCTTACATTGGTTGATACTGCCACAAGATGGCAAAAAGGAATTCGTTTAAAGAGTAGAGCGACACAAGATATTTATGAGTCAATGTAGGCAATATTCTCTAGAATGGGGTCCCCAGAAGGTATGCTATCAGACAATGGTCCAAACACTTCTCGGATATGTAAGAACAAATGTGTTGATTTTTAATAGACGAAATGATCATTCATCAAGCTATCAACCACAATCTTTGGGAAAATTGGAAAGATCGAATGGTATAATAAGGATAATATTTTTAAAAGTTGCTAATGAAGAAACATACAAATGGGATAGATTTTGACCATCATTTATATTCCCGAATGAGACCACGTTATTTTTCCCGTATGAACTTATCTTCGGTAGAAAGTTAAAGGGACCGTTATCAATATTTTTAAAAATTTACAAATACAACCATGACGGTGGAGAATAAAACTGATTATTAATATGCAATCGATCTAAGAAACCAGTTAAAAAGCAAGGCTCGAGATAACACATTCTAACACGAAAACAAAGACTTTTAAAAATAGAAATATTATAATCCCAATGCAGTTTTTGTGTGTATTCAAGTGGGTGATCACGTTTTTGTGATGAAAAATAAAAAAAAAAAAATAAACTAGCATTATACTTGGAATGTACATTCAAAGTAACAAACTAATTTTCTAAATTTAATATCAAAATAGGAAAAGGACATAATCATAAAGTCTATTATCTAAATGGTTAACAATACTTTGACAGGAATAACAGTACAAAAATAAACAATAGCAAAGATGACATAATGCATGTCAACATTTGCAACAGTTATAACATAAGAGGAAACCAAAGATACAATTAGCAGTGTTGATTATATTAAATATATGTTATTAGCACTAATGCTCATACAATGATTGATATTAATAAAGAACTAAGTAATACGCAGAAAGCGGAAATAAATAAAATAATACATGATATTAAGGATATAATTTCAGATATTCCCGGAAAGACCTCCGCGGGAATTCATAAAATAGAATCATTGGATAACTAACCAAAAACAATAGAGCCGTACAGTGTATCACAACATAAGGTAGAAGGTTTAAAGGAGGAACTTAATGCATTTGTTAACCTTGAAATAATAGAATAATCCAGCTCACCATATTCCTCTCCTCTTGTGTGAATTAAAAGAAGGACGGCTTTATTGGGACATGCATTGATTATAGTAAGCTTCCCATTATTACGAAATCAGTAGCTAAAGTTATGCCAAATCAGGATATACTGTTAGCTTAGTTGAATAAAGCAAAATATTATACATAGTTGGACTATCAAAGGGATTGATAGATTCCCTGAATAACAAAAACACACTTTTCATAATTTTTCAAGGCCCTAATGATTTATATTTATTTATTTATTTATTTAGGCATTTTTATATAGCGCTTATCATAAAGCTCTAAGCGCTTTACAAATATTAAAACAAGTAAACTAAGTAAATACAAATGAGACACTAGGATAGTAACTACTATTCTATAGAAACAATGAAAATGGCTATAAAAAGAGGACACTTTGACACTTCAGGATTAAACCGAAACAGAAAATTAGGTAGGGCAAGGAGGATGCATCACAGGTCATAGGCGGACCTAAACATATGAGTTTTAAGGGACTTTTTGAAAGTGGACGAGGTTTCACTATGACGTACATGGAAGGGGAGCTGGTTCCAGAACGTGGGCCCATGGAAGCAGAAGGAGCGTTCACCGATGGTCTTAGTTTTAGTTCTTGGGATTGAGAGGGTTCTACTGTCAATGGAAGAACGTAGTTGTCTTGTGGGGATGTAAGGAAGCAACAGTTCAGAGAGATAGACAGGAAAGTGAGGGTCAGTGAACGAGTTGAAGCAAAGATTGGAAGACTTGTATTTGATGCGAGAGGATATTGGAAGCCAGTGGAGTTGCCGCATGTGTGGTTGAATGTGGTCATGTTTCTTTAATTTAAAAATGAGTCTGCATGCTGAGTTCTGTGCCTTCTGAAGTTTGTCTATGTGGTGTTGAGGAATGCCTGAGAGAAGAATGTTACAGTAGTCAAATTTTGAAAGAATGAGTGAAGAGACGAGAGTTTTTGTGGCATCAAAGGAGAGGAGGTGTCTAATGGTGCTGATTTTTCTAATTTCGTTATATGCTGATCTGCATATATTCGTGACATGTTTGTCCATGGAGAGGGTGTCCGTAAGAGTATATATCAGTATAACGCAGAGGTTTCAAACTCAAATCATCCGTGGCCACAGGAGGTAGAGTCTGAGGAAAACTAGGCCACATAAAATATTCCACTCAAAAAGCGATTACAAATTCAATAAGGTACAACTGTTACAATCTACTATAGCTTATTAATAACAAAGAAAGACATTAGATGTCCGCATGAATTAGGCTTCGGTTACTTCCTCCTACTCCAGAGACCTGTTAGCACTCATTCTTACACAGCTAAGCAACGTTTGCTTTATCGGTAAGTATAGCCCTGAATCTTGACATGTTAAAGTTCATAGTTAAAAAGAGCTTTTCATGCATATTGGTCCTTAAAAAAAAGACACTTCGTTCGATAGAACAACCTTGAAATCTCAAGAAGGTGTATGACAATTCTCTCATAAATTGTCCATGGTTGTCTTCTTTTCAGTTAAACCCCTTGAACTTAGCCGTAGTTCAGGATAGCACTCAATCAGCTCCCTTTGAGTCGCATGGGGATACTGGTATCTTCCACATTGAAGAATAAAATGTCAAATAAATTTGAAATGTGGCTCTGACTGTTTTGAATTTTGAAAATATTTGAACAAATTATTTCTGTAGCTTTACAGTGGCAAAAGAATACTTACTAACTGAAAGTTGTGCCTGAGTCCATGAGTACTTTGCATGTTAGGAAATTTCAGAGGTTTCTCTGGGACCCATAACATACATTTTGTGCTGAATGTCTTGATATTGTCCTAGGCAACACTGAAAAGTGTTCCCTGATCCTTAAACGTTTTGTTTAGTGCATTAAGCTCCTGTGTAATGTCAACAAGCAATGCAAAGTCCATGAGCCGATTGGGATCACTTTGTATGGGAACAACTATCCCACCCTTATCCATGAAGGCTTTGAAGGTTAAACGTGTTTAAACAGAAGACAGGAGCAGGCCATATTTATACATTATTAATGCTAATGACGTTAATATTGTAGGGGAAATTAAATTTTGATTTTTTTTTCCTTTTTGACAGTTCCTTTTTGAAAGTGACCAATCTGACAGGCTCAGAATTTCTTTTACCTATCACTCGTACAAACTAGCGGCAATATATAAAGGATTCTTTGATACTGAGTAAGATAACTACGATTTACATTGTTATGGGCGTGCTTACCTACTTACTGACTATTTAAACTTTTCTTAAAACCACAATGTGCCATATTTGTCTCATAAAATGCTTTATATTAAAACGTTTAATCCCATTTTAGAACAATTTTTAGCAATATAATTATTGACCAAATAAATACAAACATAATGAGACAGAAGTAGATAGGTAGATGAGATTCGATTAAAAATTTCCAGGGGGTTTATGGTCACATTGTAGCGATGTGAAATGGGGAAAATCCAAAGGGCCCATTAACACTAAAATTTGCTGTCATTGATTGGGCCGGAAAATTTCTTATTGTGGGCCACAAACTGCCCACGGGCGTGAGTTTGAGACTACTGGTATAACTATATAACCGCCCCTGCCACTTTTAACAACATTGTTAGGAAAATATTCACAAATATAAAACATATAGTTAAATATTTTGATGATATTTTTATGTACACAGGTACTTTTGAAACACACGTGAATTCACCAGACACATTGTTGTCATTGTTTAAAAAAGGGGCTTTTTACCGTTAAACCCTCCAAGTTTGAGATTGGAAAGCAATGTATTGATGTTTTTAGCAATCCAGTATGTGTCAATTTATTAAAACCCTGTAATATCAGGGAAAAAAAATATATTGGTCCTTCTACACATAAGAAACACGTAAGATGATTAGTTGGTTCAATGTCATATTACAACAAATTAATTTAAACATTTTCAACACTAAACTCCCAGTTGACTGACCTCACAAAGAAAGGAGAACTTACAATATTCGTTGGTCGGATGAATGCCAACAGACATTAGAAGCTATGGAAAAGTACTTAACTAATAACCCAATATTAGTCCTACCATAAAATATTGACCAGTTCATAGTTAGAACAGATGCATCAACCACAGAACTAGGGGCGTGTCTGTTCATGAACACAAACGAGATCTTTCATCCATTTAAGTACATCAGACGTAAACTAATGGATAGGAAAACGCGCCATTCAACAATAGAAGGGGAATACGTAGCATTTATATTGATCATTTAAAAAGAAGCTTACTATTGTGGAGTGTTAAGACCTGGCTAATCGACCTAAATGGTACAATGGTGGGGGATTTCACAGTATAAAAACTGACCAATCGTTAGTAAATAATCATTTAAACGGCAGAGGTGGGGGGGGGGGGGGGGGATTAGAACAAAGTATAGTATCAGCCAGACCTAACCGAGGCTGGCCAACTGGCGGGCGCTTGTAGCTTGGCGGATAAAATCTGGGCGAGACTGTTGGGGACGTTATGTAATAGGAATGGTTGGTCTATGTCAATATAAACGATTGGAGGCGGTTTGAAAATATTGCAATATTTAGGTGATTTCACAGTATAAAAACTGACCAATCGTTAGTAAATAAACATTTAAACGGCAGAGGTGGGGGGGGGGGGGGGGGATTAGAACAAAGTATAGTATCAGCCAGACCTAACCGAGGCTGGCCAACTGGCGGGCGCTTGTAGCTTGGCGGATAACATCTGGGCGAGACTATTGGGTACGTTATGTAATAGGAATGGTTGGTCTATGTCAATATAAACGATTGGAGGCGTTTTGAAAATATTGCAATATTTAGGAGCATATATTTTAAGTAAAATAACCCCTCAAGATAACTTGAACGACCTTGACGAACGAGAAAAATAACACGAAATTAAATAAAAATAATTGAAAATATATTTGTTTTACAATACTTACATTGGTTTTAACATTAAATAGACAATAGCTTCCAGGAAAAACTTTTTTCGTCCAACAATATATTTGAAGATTGCTTTCATTAACTAGTTCTACATCATCACATGTTGGACTTTCAGCAGCAGCTTAATTAAAATATCACAATTAAATATTACTTTTGATACAAAATAAGATCGCTTAGTTAATATTAATTTATATTCAATATTTCATATATTTTTAAAAGATAATATGTTGTATTTTAACTTTCAGACATAGTATGAAGTAACAAATTATAGTATTTTTAACTTACAAAATACTTGAAGGTCAAAAGTCGATGTTTCATGAAAGCTAGGGTTGGTAGTGGAATCAGCATTGAAAAGCCATCTTGTGTTATGTAGAGACATGCTGACATTCTTGATTGTGAACAGACTAATGTATGATGATGAATTTGAAGTTACGGTTGCTGAGTAAAGGTCGAGATTTTGATTGTCAGAAATATCACATCTCATATCATTAACTGAACTACATTGAAATAAACTAATAATGCTATTTCCATTTTGAAAAATCCAATTTATGCTAATAACTTGCGCAACATTGTTTATAGCCACCTTATATGTTTGAGCTTTTCCTTCCATCGACCATAGACTCATAGAGACATCTGAAAGTCAGTAAAATGTTGTAAGTATATTTGTTGTTTGTTCAAGTAGTATATATCTATATGTCTACAGACATCACTAGTTGGAGAGAGATAGAAAAAGATATAGATGTATACAGAGAGAAACAGAGAGAGAGAGAGAGAGAGAGAGGGAGGGAGAGAGATAGACAGACAGATAGAGTGGGTGAAAGAGAGAAAGACACACAGAGAGAGGCGGTTATTATTTAGTAGTCTGTAAATATTAAAATACGTTCTCATGGTAGTTTTATTTTTATAAATAAAATGGTATGTATTATTTCAATTGAAGCTATTTGTTTTATTCTAAGAATTGTTTTCTCATTTAGGTTTGTTTTTTTTGTTTTTTTTTTGCACTTTCTTTGAAAATGTATTAATAGACATTATAAAATTATGTTAAAGCTTTTAATTTTACAAGATCCAAACCAACCAACAATGGTCAACAAAGGAAGTAGTCTCAAAATGAAAAGAGTCATTTTGGTCTGAAAAATAAAAAACAGTGTTGACATTATTATTATATTTTTAATATACAAGTACATTTTAATTTACTCTAGATATTTTAGCAGTGGACAAGAGTTATATTGTGCAAGGTGAAACCTGGATAAAACGTTGCTCGAATACGTGCTAACTCAACCAGAATCAGAATGATGTTTAAACTCAAGCTGAAGCTGCAAATAGGACTTATTTTTTCTTAGGTCTCAATAATTGACTTGTATCCTGTTAAGCATTTTATGGAAAGGTGTCAGGGTTTTAATATGAAAAGCTTTGGGAGAAAACAAGAGGTGCGAAATCAAAAGCGATATTGCCCACAATATTTTAAAATAATTTATGAATATAACCATTTAGTATTATATACATGAATTCTCAGTTTCAGTGTACCTGCTTCTCTTGGAAACGCTCATATTTTCATTTTTAGTTTGTCATAAATACAGAGGCTTTTTATTAAATATATTAAACGCTTTTTTTAAAATTCAATCTTATTTTTTTTTAAATAGTTTAATTTCACATGCGTCATACATGCTCTTAGCGTCAACAATAAATCATAAACAGTTTTACAGTTGCTTTGATTGATTTGTAGCTCTGATTTATAACAGAGAGTTTTATTAGGAACATTAACAATTCAATAAAGAAGACAGTTATCAATATCTTAAGTCTGGATTTTTTTTAAAAAGCTAATTCAATACAAACATTATAGTCTTATTGGATCATATGGTCTATTATATTTTATTTTAACTTCTATATTTTTATCATCACTTTACATGTTCACTCGTTTAGACTAAGGTCCTCAAGTAGTGACAGCACGGGTGTACAACAATCAAGACCTATTGAAAATACATAAACAGTTGTTTGCTGAGGGCGATATATGCCACAGCGAGACTAATCCTAGAGTAATACCAGCAACAATATAATAAAAATAAAAAATAAAAAATACATTGTCGCGTATGAGATTTCCTATATAACATATGTTGCGACTGAGAGCATTAATAGTTAGTGAAAGCTTTTCCCACACTTGAATTGGAGACGTATGTTTAAGCTCATTGTGACGTATTAGCTGGTCTGTTTACTGATGTGCATTCTAGTCACATGGCAATCGTGAATGAAACTTTATAAAATGATGTTATGTTTTATTTCTCTCTGATAACGAGCTGCGCTTTAAATTTGTGTATGGAATTAACAGTATGTGCATAGTTTATTTAAACATAAGGGGAAATAAGAGCTTTTTATGTTATTATTGTGTGGAAAAGATTTCTAACTAACAATAATTTGACAATGTGTTTTTATAATGATCATTTTATGAATTTTAAGTACACATTGATAATGATTTATATAATCGTATTTATTGCTTTCATTAATCAGGGATATAAAAGCAATTTCCCTGATACAGGGACATAAAGAAAATTATTATTTTTTTGAATTTCATTGCCATGAAAAGGGATTTTTATTGCTTAAAAAATGTGCTCTGTTTTTTATACTGTCGTTCATAAATATTTAAGTACGTAATTGTAATTAATAATGTATAAATTCTTAGTTTGATTGTATGTGGTGCATACTTGGTTTGATTTTTAAAGATACTAATTTTTAATATTTTTTTTTAGTACAGACTATTTCGTTGTATTATTAGTTTTCTAATCATGATTAATTTGATTTTTTGTGGATGTCGATTTAACTCTTCTAGTAAATCTAAAATGAAAGACGGGAATATGCCCAATATTATATTTCATTAATAACATTTGTTACTGTATGTGTTGTTTGACTAGCGAGTACCCGGCATGCGTTGCAATTTCACTCAAAGAAAGAAAGTGTTTGCATTTCAATTATGTTTCTTGAAGTGGTTTTAAATACACAATTTTTTTATTCCGTCTGTTACATACAAAAATTAATCAGAAGGTTTTCCGAAGCGAGAGCAGGCTACATACACCTGTCCATGGGAGAAGCTTGGGTTTTCCAAATTTAGTTCTCAAACTTGTAACTATTTCCCTTGTGCTTTGTAGATAGTCATTGCAAACACGTGTCGCAGCGGAAACTGCAGACATTTGAATTCAAATGATGTATCTATTGGAATCATTGGGAAGCGTGGCAACAGTACATCTTCTCTTTTAAATTTTCAATTTAAAATAGTAACTTCGATGATTTTTTCATAATGTGTTTCCATAAAACTTATTATCGTTGTCAAGGTGGATTTATATTTCATTAAAGAATGATATTCGCGCCAATTTTCAGTGTTATAACCTGCGATGGAATGCTTGTCAAGTAAAGTGATTGGATAATTGACAACTTAGTCTTAATTCAATACAGTATCGATGGACTTATACCTTTTTTTTTTGTTTGCCTGGGATTTCATTTTGAATGCTTAAAACGATGGCATTGACATAGTTGTATTTGCTGCTAATATAGCAAGTGCACTGAGAAACTGATGATTTTTGTAATATTGTAGGATATTTGGAAAAAGTTTTGAATCCATTCGTCAATGTTTGCTGTAATTTTACAGAAGCTTGTTGGCAATGTGATACATCTTGTAGATTCATCAATTGCCATTTTCCCTTTGGCAATGTCCAACAATTGTTTTGCAAAACGTTCCGCGGATGTTCCATTATGCAGTAGTACACACATATTGGTCTTTAAAGTCAATTTTTGTAAATGTCGCCATAAACTGATGATTTGAGACATGCATTTAATTCATCAGCAGCTGTTCAGGCCACCATCCAAAAGAGTTGCTGCATTTCCAGATGATGCGATAGCCAGTGCACCATTTTTTCTGATCGTATTATGGCCAAAATAATTGAAATTATGAATTTTTTTACTGTTGCTCCGGGCACAGCTAGGAAATATAGTTCACCGCTTTGTTTATTAATTACATGCATAATTCTGTCATAAACTATGAGTTGTTCTGGAGCCAATTTCGGAAGATTCATCTGAACAAATGTACCTAAATCTCTGATGTCAAAGTGCATTTCTCGTTGCAAATCACGATTAAAAAGCTTGATGGCAGATCGATTAGCAGAAGTCATTCCTAACACTACAAGTGCTTTGTTAGAGATTGCCAAAGATATGTCCTAAATCGAAACCAATGCCTCGTTATACACGTTTGGTGTAAATTTAATGTCCGGATTTTGATCCGTTGCATGCAAATGATGTAGGATGTCTTCACTCATGTCGTCTTTGTATTTCTCCCAAAGATCTTTTGGATTGGATGGGAAATAAGTTGTCAAAAATTCTTCTTCTTCTTGCCAAAATAAAATTGGATATTTCAATCCATCGTATGAGCGATGCGTTTCTTAGACTCGCTGAACATGATCACCTCTGCGATGAAGAATTGTATCACGTGAGTTAAATTCTTCGCCAACTTTAACGATCGCCACTTCATCAATTGTTGATGCATTGTATTGTCTTTCGTGTTGGCCGACAGGTGTTTTGTCTGGTCTATGACGTTGTAGTCATCAGTCGGCATCTTTTCAAGTGCAATTCTAAACATTTGAATTAATTCGTTGTGTTGCAAAAATAACGTTTGCAATGCAGCGACGGTGTCACGTTTAGTGCCCGTATTGATATGACAACGTTGATCGATTTGTTCATCAGTATTCCCCATTTTAAAAAAAATTGAAGAAATGTGTTATATGTGTATGGCATTGGCATCAGAGATCCTGCACGATAAGTGTTGCCTTGCACTTTAAATGTTGGCATGTAATTCTCGCACACAATATTGGTTGCGCTAAACGATGTCATTTGGAAATATGAATTGTACTTGCGAAGTTTGCCAAGAAATATTTCGATTTGCGTGTGTCACCTGATAGCTTTTTGTTTAGGTGGCACAATTGATTTGACAGCAAAGTTATTGCTTTGTGGCGAATATTGCAAATGCATGTGATATCTGTTCTTAGCAATGGTATTTCACAATTAACTCAATTTTTTAGGTCACACACAAATTGAAATGTCGCATTTCGTATTCGATTCAATTAATTGACAATATTGCAAACAATAATAATTTTCACACGTTAGGATCATTCATCTGATTACACGAAAACGTGACACAATAGGTTCGTTCATTGTTGGCAAGAGAGTTTCAGTTGTTTAATTTCATTCAATTATAAATCATGAATTCCAGCGTTACAATCACGATATTACCATAGTTCAATACCTCCGTTGTCAAGTGTGTTATTTAATTACTCAAGAACCCATCGATTCAAGTAAAATGTCTTTACTTAACACAAAACAACACCAAAATTATAATATTCTATTTAAGCAATACTTATAATTAAAAAAAAAAAAAGGAAAAACACAAGTTCAACGTCATATCCGATTCTAAAATGCGTAACAAAATTCAAGCTTATTTATAAAAATATAAAAAATACTCCCAGTACTATAGGACTGCGTGCTGATTGACTTTACTCCCAATGGGAAGTCTTACATACACCCACCACAGCTTACAAATGTAGAGGTATACCAGAAGTTACAGTTGTGACTGATATCATCTACATTCGTGAACACCCTTAAAAGCGCTGAGCCCTGAAAAGCCAAGAAGTACATAGGATGAAGTTTCCACTTACACAGTGAATTGATCTCTGTATTGTACTGCCTTAACATCTACCTGCGTGAACGCCATAAAAAGCGCTGAGCCCGGATTTGCCACGAGGTAAAGAATTAGACAATTCTCTTCCACCCTTGAAGTAATTATATTGCATCGCATTGCTGTTTTTTCACTTCTATGAACGTCCTAAGAAGCCACGAACAGGACCCGAGGATCCACGTTGCATTTATCTCATTATTGTGGATGATGTAACCATATCTTGACCAAACTTAGTACACATACTCTTGATTATCAATATTCAAATACTTTAGGGTACATAACTCATAATATCCATCCCTCTGGGGCCGAAGGCCCCATTTCTTTTTTTTGTTGTTATCGATACTAATAAAAGGCAAAGCCCTCACTGACTCATAACTAATTCGCCACTTTCTCCTGTATAGAAGCCTGAAATTTGGCAGATTTATTCCTTACAGCTTAATTATAAAAATTAGGCTGGTGTCATTTTAAAACTCTATATTTTTTGGGGCCGGGTGTCCAAAGTGTCACTTTTTCCTATATGAGCTATATAAATACAATGATCAACAAATTCTGCAACATGAATAGCTAGATCTTGACCAAACTTAATATACATATATTTTATTATCCATACTCAAATACCGAAGTGTAATTAACACATACTATCCATCCCTGTGGGACCGGGATCCATTTCATTTTTCCTAATATAAAACTTACAACCATTAATAAGCTTAGTTCTCCGACATGAATAGATGGATCTTGACCAAACTTAGTACCCATACTTTTGATTATCAATATGCAAATACTTAAGTGTACTAAATTCATATATACATTCCTCTAGGGCCATGGGCCCAATTTCATTTTTTTCATATCCATACTAAAAAAAATGAAAGCCCTCACTCACTCATCACTCATTCTCCACTTCCCCTGTAGATGGGAGCATCAAATTTAGTAGGCTTATTCCTTACGTCTTACTTACAAAAGTTAATCAGGTTTCATTTTGAAAGTTTACCCAGAACGGTCACAACCGGGGACCCTGAATATTTTTTTTTCTTATATGATATATATTAATAAAATTAACAACAAATACTGCTACATGAATGTTTGGATCTTGACCAAACTTAAATTACATACATTTGATAATCTATATTCAAATACTGAAACGTATTTAAAACATAATATGCATCCCTCTGGGGTCGGGCCCCCTTTTCATTTGTTCTTATATAAGTAGATAAATAGCAATATGCTTAGTACTCCTATATGAATAGATGGATCCTGACCAAACTTGGTAGATATACTCTCGATTAGCCATAGTGAAATACGGAAAGGTACATAACTCATAATATTCTTACCTCTGTGGCCATTGGCCCCTTTTATTATTTATTTTATGACCTATTTTCTCCAATTTCCCATGCAGATATAGAAGCCTGAAATTAGGCAGATATATTCCTTACGACTTACTTACAAAATAGAATCAGTTTTCATTTCGAAACTCTACTTGGAACAGTCATAACCGGGGGCACCGAGGTTTGATTTTTTTTCCATGTATGATATATATAAATAAAATTAACTACATATCCTGCTACATGAATATCTGGATCTTGACCAAACTTAATTTACATACATTTGATTATCCATATTCAAATAAGGGAAGGTTTTTAGCATATAATATTCATCCCTCCGCGGCCAAGGGCCCCATTTCCTTTTTTTTCCTTTTGTAAGCTATATAAATAGCAATATGCTTAGTACTTCTACAGGAATAGATGGATCTTGACCAAATTTAAGACACATGATCTTGATTATCCATACTCAAATAACGAAGGATAAAACTGAAAATATCCATACCTCTTAGGCTGGGGGCTCAATTTCATTTTTTTCTGATCTAAGCTTTATAAATATCAATAGGGCTACACAACACCATAGGTTCTATGAGATTAGTTGGATTTAGGCCTAGATTTGTAGGATTATTATTCTTAGTCCGTTTTAAAATATCGTTTGATTTAATATCCAATCCATTCAAGGCCAATCTAGAATTTTCTAGAAACCTCGATAGTTTGAAAGCGCTATGCCTACGGCATTTGTAAAACACTTTTAATGGGAAAAGTTTTAATTTGATAATTTATCTCAATGATTTTTATAGGCTTCCCCACATCACAGACATATATAAAACGGTCCTTTATTAAATGGGCCCCATACGGGGCCAACATATCAATTTAAATGTATTATAGTTAGTAGCACAATTTAGTTGTGTAATATTTCGCATTCGATGAATAATTACGCAGAAATTTAATTTTTACACGTTTCATGGAGGATATTAAATTTAATCTAGAATGTTCTATATTTTTCTACAGGGATATATAATTAAATCTAAAAGCGTATTCAAACAAAATCTAACTGAGCATGATCCCATAGAGAAACAGGAACCTAATGTGACACATCGGTTACGCGTTTCCATCGGGGAACAGTATACCATTGAGATCCCATCGGGTAACGGGTCCATGAGGAACAGGGATAACATCGGAAAAGAGAGTCCCTAGGTGGAACGGGATCCCTCAATGAACGGTATCTTAACGGGATCAGTAGCGCATCCGGATCCACTGAGAAATATCCATTTCTCTGGGGCCCGGAGGGGGGGGGGAGGCAGTTCATCTTTTCTAATATAAGCTATATAAATATCAATAGGCTTGGACAACACTATAGTTTCTATGTGAATTTTTGGATATAGGCAAAGCGTTGTAGCAATACCATACATTGGCTGTATGGATATATTGGTGGATTTAAAACTAATAATATCCAATCTAGAATTTAAAAAAAAGCTATATCTATGTCATATTTTATGTAGATTTTAATGGGATACATTTTAAATTGTATCTTTATTATTTATCTGTCTGATTTCATAGGGCCCCGTAGCTCAGGTATAACAATATCGGTACAGTTATTGAATGACCCCCTGCCCAGTGCCCCTTTATTAACTTAAAGAAAAAAGATTAAAATATTGGTTTTTGTTGAAGATTTTTGTTCGTATTTGAACAATGATTAGATAAGGAAGTAGTTTTTACACATGTTTCGAACAGGTTATTAAATTTAATCTAGAATGTTCCAGAAAGTTTTAAATTGTTCAAAACGGATATATATTGGAATCTAAGGGAATATTGAAATGTTAATTACTTCTAATCATATCCATACTGTTCTGGAGTTAGTTACACTGAGTAATTTTTTATATACGGAATAGAAACAAAGGGGTCGGGATACCATCATAATTTTTATCCAAATGGGATCAGGATCCCACCAGAGAACGGGATCCCAGCGGGATCGGGATCCTAAACCTGAATGGATCCACCGGGATCGGGATCACACCGGCAAATGGGATCGGTGTCAGAAATGGGATCGGGGGTCCAACCAGGATGGCGTCCTATGCAATCCCGGGCCACGCCGGGTATATCGGGTAGTATATATATATATATGTAGTATATATGTAAGTTGAAATTTGTGGCTTTTTTGTTCCACAAAGGCTTTAAAATGGATTGATTGATCTTGACAAAACTTGGCACATATATCCATCATTATCCAGAAAGAAAGCATAAGGCGTTATGATTTTTTATAACATTTTCATTTGCGGCCGGAGGCCCAAAACTTCTTTTTTTTCCAAAATGACCTATTTAAATAAAATTAACAATTGATACTACGAAATAAATGGATGGATCTTGACCAAACTTAGTACACATTCAATGGATTGATGGCTCTTGACCAGACTTGGCACATATATCCATCATCATCCGGAATGAAACTTATAAGGGGTTTTGAATTGTTTTATGACATTCCGTTTGGAATCGGGGTCCACGAATTCGTTTTTTTATTCTTACATAAGCTTTATAAATAAAATTGGAAACAAATACCTGATTAGATGGATCTTTAAGAAAAGTATTACACATACACTTATTAATACAAATAGAAATACTGAAGAGTAATGAACGGATAATATCAATTCTTAAGGGGCAGGGGGCGCCATTAAATTTTCCTATTATTAACTATTTATATAAAAATAAATAGGCTTAACATCCTACATGAATTGTTGGATCCTTATCAAACTAAGTACACATACACTTTATTATCAATATTCAAATACCGAAAGGTACTGAACTCATAATATCCATCCCTCTTTGACCGGGGGCCCCATTTTCATTGTTCCTAATATAAGCTATATAAATATCAATAGTCTTTGACAAGGGTGTAGTTTCTATGTGAATTGTTGGATGTAGGCCTAGCGTGGTAGCAATACACTTCATCGTCTTTATTGAAATATAGTTGGATTTAAAACTAAGTCTATCAAATCTTGAATTTTCCAGCAATGTCAATAACTTTACAAAGCTATATATATATAAAGGCATTGTTAAACCAATTTTAATTGAACAAATTTTACGTATAAACTCCATAATTTATCTGAATTATTTTATTTAGGTTCCCATTTTATTAAAAACTGATTGGGTAATTTTTTAGAATGGGTTCTCCACTGGGACACCTCTTTTAACTTAAATGCGTTATAGCTATTAAAGTGGATTTAGTTGTATATGAACCCGAGTTCATAAAATTATTACTTAGAAAATTATTGTTTACACGTTTTGATGAGATTATTAAATTTAGTTTATAATGTTCAAGAAAAGTATATATAGTTATGTGGGAACACGTAAAGGGATATAAATGCTTATAGAATCGTTAACGAGATCCAGCAGTAAATTAAATCCAGTGGTAACGCGATCAAATAGGGTAACGGGATCAAACCGGGGCTGGGATTCTATCTGAAATATTACATTAAGAAATGGCGTCAGCGGACCGTCGAGCTTGCGCTCTTTATGCCCTCCCAATAACACCCCTCCCCAACCCGGTATCGGGCCACGAAGCGTCAAGTCGGGGATGTCCCTTTGTCAGGATGGCCCCCACCCGAGTCTGCTAGACCAGGTGTCCGCCGGGGGCCGTCCTAACCCAAAGACACCCGATCGGTCCGACACTGTGTTATTTCGCACAGTGCACACGATCGACTTTCTCAGGAGTCGGGATGGAAAATTTTACGTCCTAATATCTTCCCCCACCCCTCCTGGGGAAGCGTTAGACGCCCTATAAGAGGGATTCTACAGTGGGATTCCACAACGCAATTAATTGGCAATGCAGCTGGGGCATAACGGTTGCCTTGGAGCAGCTTCTCAGGGCTGCGTACTAAGAATCATCGGCCACATGTTACCACCTTCGCCTCTCGCCTCATATCCATTAACGGCAACTTGTTATCATAATTCCTACCCTGTTACTGCCTATTGTTCCAGTTGGGAAATATCACAACTGGCAGCCATGTAGGAGCTGTTTTATGTACGGCAGGTACCGAGCACATCCCTTGGTCTGTCCACGCAGGACGCGCCCAGTGGTTGTGTTTCCCGGTTAACGTCGATGGGGTCAGTGGCCGACGCCTCCTAATTGACAAGCCACCACAGACTTGCCAACCGGCGACCCGGAAGAGTAAATTCGTTCCTACTAATGAAACATCCCACTGAGAAGCGGGATACTAACAGGATCGGTATCCCACTCGGATCGAAAACCCATCGGAAAACTCAAACCTAACGAGATCGGTACCTTACCGGAATCGTACTCCTACAGCTATTCGGATCCAACCGGGATCAGGATCCCACCGGGAAAAAAAAAATTAAGTTCTATTTGTATTGATGGATCTATGCCTAGCTTGGTATGGAAATATTGATGGATTTAAAACTAACCATATACAGTTTTAGAATTTCCCAGGGAGTTCGATAATTATAAAACAAAAGCTTTAACTATTGCATTAAAGTAGATTTGAATGTGATGAATTTTAAATTCTTACTTAATTATTAATCTCACTGATTTTTAAAGGGCAATTTATCTCAGGCATAACTAAATTGATAATTTATAAAATCGGCCCCTTGTTTCCCTCGATTAAATTAAAAGATAAAATATTAAAATTATTATATTTGTTCTTGATTTTTATCTTATTCAAGATGTGATTAGAAAAGAAATGTCACACAAGTTTCAAGGATGTTATTCAATTTAATCTAGAATGTTTCAAAAAGTTTAAATTGTTCAAAGGGGATATATAGTTTGATCTAACGGATTTTTTTTAAAAATTGTAATTAGTTCTCTTCATTTCCATATTGTCCCAGACTTTACTGTATCAGAGAATTAATAGAGATGAAACAAAAAATACGAACTATATAAAGTTGAGAAAGAAATTATATGGGCTGAAATAATTAAAGAACAGAAGTTTTTCTGTTGAACAATCGCTATGTGAGAATAAACAAACATTATCATTTATTTGAAAGCCTATCAAAGTATATCTAGCAGAAAAGGAAATATAATATATTTTAAACAATTTAACTTAATTACAGATTTCAGCACTACCTGCAAACCAATAGTATGAATTTTATGTTTTGAATTGGTCACAATAATAAAGATTTGGTAAGTTTTGCTAGCATTAAAAAAAATCTAAGACAGGTAGATAGATAGAAATATAGATAGATGGATAGATAGATGGATAGATAGATAGATGGATAGATAGATAGATGAATAGATAGATAAAAAGATAGATGGATAGATGGATGGATGGATAGATGGATAGATGGATAGATAGATAGATGGATAGATAGATAGATGGACAGATAGATAGATGGACAGATAGATAGATGGATAGATAGATAGATATATAGATAGATAGATAGATAAATAGATAGATAGATAGATAGATAGATAGATAGATAGATAGATAGATAGATAGATAGATAGATAGATAGATAGATAGATAGATAGATAGATAGATAGATAGATAGATAGATAGATAGATAGATAGATAGATAGATAGATAGATAGATAGATAGATAGATAGATAGATAGATAGATAGATAGATATATGGATGGATGGATAGATAGATGGATAGATAGATAGATAGATAGATTGATATATTGATAGATTGATGGATCGCTTGATAGATTGATAGATATAGATATATATACTTAAAATGTCTTTTTGCATTCTTTAAAACAAGGGTAAAACACACACAAAAAAAATATATAGGTATTATAATATTTTAATGCATTTTAAATTGCAAAAAAAATAAATTTTCTTTCAAAAATAACAAAGATTATCTGCTTTATTACTGAGTTCATTACATCAGATAAATTATTGATCAAGCCTACATGTTGAAATTGTCCTTCATATTAAACATAACAACATTTGAAAAACCAGGAAGAATAATCAAAAATAACTTTGTTTGTTGCGTGTAGACTTAGATAAATCATAATGTTTAGATTATGTTAAAACATGTAAGTGATAAATATTGATTTGTTTTAAAATTTGGCAATTATTTCTTTTAAACATTTCCCTTTGTATAAATTTAATGAACTTAAAAAAAAGTCAGCATTTTTTTCATTCCATCATTGTACACTTGAACTACAAGATATTCACACACAATATTAATTCTTCAAAGTTATCAACATTATTTGTAATGTTCCTTTACAATTTGTATTACTGGTTAACCACATTTTACTTTTTTTTTTAAACACAAAACACAAAAAAAAAAACTACAATAAGCCAAAAATTTCTTTTATTTTATATATTTGAAACTGAAAACACATATAATTTATATGCTATATTCCATATATTTATAATTACTTAGACAAATAAATTAGATATTAAATTATTATCAAACTTACCTCTCAAAGTTCTCCTCCAAATAAAAATAATAACTGCCGTGCAAAAGAGAAACTGAAATTAACAACCATTCTTTACTGTTTATCTACCAGGAAGTAAATTAAAAGAGAAAAATGATGTGCTGTGTAACTGTGTGTAGATTTTAGAACTTAATGTGTAGATAATCTTAAATCATGTAAGGTTTTTAGTATTTCTTTTCTTAGCATATTTTATTATTGTAGTTGTATTACACATGTATCATTGTTAGTTAAATTGCATATTATTTTCTTTGACAATAAATAACATATATATATATATGAACTTAGGTAGCTTAAATTATTTTAAAGATTGTATTTTTTTACTAAATTTATGTTTATGAAGATTCGTTTTTGAAATGTTGCTTTAAATATACTGCAAGTGATTTAATATTTAAAAAGAAATTTGAATATGGTCAACCCCTTCAACCCTTAAAACGTAATCGTAAATTTTCTGCTAGCCTTAATGAAAAAAACATTGAAAAAAACATTAAAAAAAAAAAAATAATAATTGCTTTGATAAGAACATCTCTTATGTTTATGTCTTGTAAGATAATAATGTGCAAAATATGTGTTTAATATTTGGACTATTTCCGACAAAGAGAGAATATGTTTTTTATTCTTAAACTGTTTGCATCCTAAATAATTATTTGTAAAGTGATTTGAAAATTGAAATTCATCATGTTAACATTTACCTAACCATATTTTTTTGGGGTCTGAGTAGCGGGGAGGGGAGGGGGGAAGGAGTAATTACATTTCTAATTTTAAAGCTGATATTAGAGTTAATTTCAAAACTGACATTTAACATAGTAGACATTTAAACCCAGACAATTACAATGCATCGGATAAAGTAGAAAAAAATATTCGCCTTGAATGCAAAATCAAAATAAATTTGTCAACCAATTGTGTAGAGTGTCAGTAAGATGGTTAGTTCAAAATATCATTAAAATTTCGTTTACATTATGATTTAAGAATGTATAATTTAAGGAAAAAAAAGAATGTTTAGAATGTGTTTTAGATTTTACGTTCGACGATCAAGAAAAGACGTGAACATAACCTAGAAATAATTTGATTTCCTTGCTCTAAATATGTTTCAAAGAATACATCTCAAAAATATGAAAATAAAAAATGTATTAATGTTAGCCCTAATATTTAAGAAGATTTAATTTTAATTATTCAGTGAAGGAACATTTGAAGTTCATGTGCCAGTAAAAATTAATGAGTATATTTTGGAAAAAAAATTTAAAAAATTAAGACATTCATTTTTTTTTTTTTTTGCAGATTAAAATGTCACTACATCTTTATAGACTTTTGGCTTTGTTCGCTATTTATGGTGGGTTTTCATATTTTAACATAAAATAAAAAAAATTTAAAAAATTAAGAAATTTATTTTTTTTTTTTTTTTGCAGATTAAAATGTCACTACATCTTTATAGACTTTTGGCTTTGTTCGCTATTTATGGTGGGTTTTCATATTTTAACATAAAAACTTATTCATTTCTTTTAAATGGTAATTTACTCAGTTGAAAAAAAAATGTGATATGAAGAAAATAAATCACTTTGATTAAAACTACTAATTTTATTTATGTACCCTCACTTATTTAAAAAAAAACAAAAAAAAACTGAATTTTTAAAACTATTATTTAATTAATTAATTAGAACATGCGCAAAGAAAGTCAATAGGAAGAAGACTGAACCACTTTGATTCGCAACATGGAATGTGAGAACCACGTGTCCTGGATTTGAAACGGACGTTGATCAGATTGACAATGAAAAGAAGACTGCCGTCATTGATAAAGAACTCGACAGACTAAACATTTATATTGCGGGCATCCAAGAGACCCGACTAGAGGTAAGCGGTACCATAAAGGAAGCCAGCTACACATTTTACTGACAGGGGAAATCCGCAGATGAACCTAGATTGCATGGTGTTGGATTTGCTGTAAGAAGCACATTATTGGCCTGTATTGAACCTCCTTCTTTGGGATCGGAGAAGATTTTGCGACTGCTCATGTCATCATCTGCTGACAAGGTCAACGTATTCAATGTGTATGCTCCAACTCTTCATTCGATTCCAGAACAGAAAGATTTGTTCTATGAGACGCTGTACCAAGAATTAACAAGTGTCCCCAAAACCGAAGCATTGTACATTCTGGGAGACTTTAATGCTAGCGTAGGAGCTGATCAGGAAGCCTGGTCGTAATGTCTTTATTATCACGGATTAGAAAGGATTACTGAAATCGGACAACGTCTGCTGGAGCTGTGCTGCTCCCATGGTCTCTGTGTTACAAATATCTTCTTCAAATGTAAACAAATCCAAAAGGTGTCATTGCGACACCCACGTTCCCGCCACTGGCACCAGCTAAACCTCGTCATTACTAGGCGCTTGGAGCTAGCCAGTGTACTTCACACATGCAGCTACCATAGTTCCGACTGTGACACGGACCATTCTCTAGTGGCGAGCAAGATACGAATAATGCCCAAAAAATTGCATAATGCTAAAAAGACGTGTCATCCATGAATAAAAATCCACAGCTCAAACAACCCAGAAAAAAACGCAGGAATTCTCAAAAGTGTTGCAGGACACCCTTGCTAAAGGATCTCACGATAGAACTATTGACTCTAAGTTGAGTCATTTACGAGATGCTGTGTACGATAAAGCGAAGTGCGTCTACGGTAAAAAGGAGAATACAAAAAATGACTAGTACGAGGCGCATTGGAATGTGATGGAACCCGTAATCGAGTGGAAGAGAAGAGCCCTACTTGCCTATAGGGATTGTGCTAGTAAAGTACAGGCGCTCAAAACCGCAAAAAAAATTATCACATTAGACGGCTCGCAACTGTGCAAACACTTAATGGCTAGATCTTTGCAGTTTCTTACAATCAGCTTCAGACAACGGAGATGCAAGGAGCATGTTTGAGGGCATCCAGAGGGCATATGGTCCACACGCGTCAAAAATAGCACAAATCAAGTCTAAGGCGGGTTAAAATATCAAGAATCCAAATGATCAAATCCGGCGTTGGATAGACCATTATCTTAAGCTATACTCGACAATAAATATTGTCACTGAGACCGCTCTGCATAATATTTCCGCCTTGTCAGTAATGAATGAACTGGATGAAGAGCCAACTTTACAGGAGCTCGAAAAAGCCATCGATTACCTTGCGGATGGGAAGGTTCCAGGGATAGACGGCATCCCAGCGGAAATCCTCAAAAATAGAAAACTTATCCTACTTCAGCCCTTACATGAGCTTCTCTGTATGTTTTAGGAAACAGATCAAATTCCCCAGGACATGAGAGACGCCAACTTCGTAACATTTTTTTTTTTTAAATAGGGAACCTAAGTGATTTCATAACTACCGAGGTATTTCTCTCCTTAGCTTAGTTGGAAAGACTTTTGCACGTGTTGCCCTTAAACGATTGCAGAGTTTGGGGAACCGCATCTACCCAGAGTCCCAGTGTGGCTTCCGAAGTGGGCGCACAACAATAGACATGGTATTTTCGCTACGCCAAATGCAGGAGAAATGTCGTGAACAACATATGCCTCTTTATATTGCCTTCATAGACCTTAACAAGGCATTTGACTTGGTAAGTCGAAGGGGCCTTTTCAGTATCTTGCAAAGAATAGTTTCTTGTCCCCTACGACTGCTCACAATAATACAGTCATTTCACAAAAACATGCACAGAACAGTAACTTTAAATGGCAATGTCTCTGAGTCATTCCCATTTAGCAGCGGAGTAAAACAGGGTTGTGTACTGGAACCAACCCTCTTTTCCATATTCTATTCGATGCTCCTTCAATTTGCCTTCAGGGACTGTGAAGAAGGAGTGTTCGTCCATACAAGATCTGATGGAAGGCTCTTCATTATATCCCGCCTTCATGCCAAGACCAAATTAAAAGGTGCTGATTCGTGAACTGCAGTTCACTGATGATGCCGCCTTAACATCTCACACAGAAGAAGGTCTGCAGGGGCTGGTTAATCGTCTATCATACGCTTGTAAAGAGTTTGGACTTTCGATTAGTCTACAGAAAGCTCATGTAATGATGCAAGAATGACCGTTTCCTACAATCATATCTATTCGGTTGTTGATCATTTCACATACCTGGGATCCAATATTTCTACTTCTCTCTCCGTTGATGAAGATATCAATATCAGGAATGCAATTGCAACAGCAGCAATTGCTAAACTGAAAAAGTTGGTGTGGAATAATCTCAATCTAACTGATAAAACAAAAATAAGTTTCTATCAGGCATGCGTGCTTAGCACACTCTTATACGGTGGCGAAGTGTGGATCACATACACTAGTCAGGGGCGGAAACTCAACAGCTTCCATCAATGATGTCTGCGTTGCATTTTACGCATTCGTTAGCAGGACAGAGTTCCTGACGTGCAAGTTTTTCAACATGAACACATGTTTAGCATATTCTCCTTTCTTATGAAGAAGTGCCTTTGCTGGTTAGGTCATGTATAGAGAATGGGGGAAGGACGGATCCCAAAGATACTGCTGTGTGGAGAGTTGGCAGAAAGGACAAGACATATTGGACGACAAAGCCTTAGATTTATTGACGTTTTTAAACGAAGCATGGAGTAAGCCAATATTGAAACAAACGAATAGGAGTTCATTGCCGAACATCGCTCCAACTGGGGAACAGCAGTGTTTGAGCGAGTAAAAAAGGCAGAAGATACTCGAAACGAGGCCCTTGAATAAAAAATAACAATTAGGAAATCAAGATCTTACCGGGATTCAATATTCTCCTGCAAGAGATGCGGCCTTTATTGCCATTCTAGGATTGGCCTTGTGAGCCATTCGTCAAAGTGCAGAACTATATAGCTACTCCATCGTCTCACGAAGACGGAAGGGTGCCATATATGTATAAAATATGCATATATATATATATATAAATTGTAACTTAAAAAAGACATCGACTTCCTTAATCCTCTTATATATTCATTTTCTTAATTTAAAAAAAGTTTGCACCAATAGTTTATCAGTCCGATTATGGAACAATTATGGTATAGTGTAAAATGTGAAAGGGATTAATGGAATATCTCCAGAAAATGTGTTATCCAAGACTTTGTCTGCAAGTGCTTTGTGCTCAATTCTTTTTCTATATCTCAAGGGCT